ATACAATTACAAAAATTGCAAAGAAGGAGATAAAATTAAAGCATGCAAAAGCTATGCTATAAAAGAAATCAAGAGTTGAGATAGACTAAAATTAGAAAAGATGTGTATTTGAATAACATGAGTCACAAGTTTGATCTAATAAGAAAAATAAATTTTAAAACAAACATTACTAGAGATAACTGTATTATTACTTAATGATTAAAAAAAAAAAAAAAAATCTTAGCCATTATTGTTATTTTTATCATGATTTTAAAAAAGACATTTCAAGCGCAAAATAGATTATTAATTTTAAATATACAGAAAAAAAAAAAAAAGCATTCCTAAGCATGATAGAATAAGCCCAACTCAAGGGCTCACGCCTGTAATCCCAGCACATTAGGAGGCCGAGGTGGGCGGATCACAAGGTCAGGAGATCAAGACCAGCCTGGCCAACATGGTGAAACCCCGTCTTTACTAAAAATACAAAAATTAGCTGTGTGTAGTGGCATGCACCTGTGGTCCCAGCTACTTGGAAAGCTGAGGCAGGAGAATCACTTGAACCCAGGAGGTGGAGGTTGCAGTGAGCCAAGATCACGCCATTGTACTTCAGCCTGGTTACAGAGCGAGACTCGGTCTCAAACAAAAAACAAACAAATAAAAACCCAAATGGACCATGCTCAACTAGACAATGAGGTGAGCTAAAGGTCATTAATAAAATTACAGCAAACACAGCATCAGATTTGGGTTTTTAAGTACAGCATCCAATCAACTGAATCAAGTCTAAAGGTAGATGAGACTCTCCCAGTGTGGCTTTCAGACAAGAAACAGAGATAAAGAGAGATATTTAATAATAGCAAGTGTGTCAAACTATCAGGAAGAGGTAACAATTCTAAATGTGTAAGCACTTCATAAATTAACTTGAAGAATAAAATATTAAAGAGGAGAAATTAATAAAAGAGAAAATGAACATACAATAGGAAAAAATCAACAAAGCCAAAAGGTTCTTTGAAAAGGGTTATTCGATTGATGATTCCCTCTAGAGACTGGTGAAGAATAAAAAAACAGAATGATAAAGAGAAGACAGTTATTAATATTATGAGTGAAAAAATAAAAATCATTACTATGGATCTCAAAGATATTAAAAAATAAATGAGGACCTTGTAAATAATGTTGTGTCAATAGACTTGGAAATATTGATAAACAAATTTTAAAAATATACAACATATCAAAGCTGGCACAAGATGAAATAAAGTATCTGAATAATCTCATATCAGTTTTAAAAATCAAATCTATAATTTGCCCCTCCCAAGAAAAAATTTCAAGCTTAAGTATCTTTACCAGTAAAATCTTCCAAACATTTAAGGAAGAAATAACATCAATCTTAAACAAACATCACAAGAATAGAAAAAGAGGAGCTTGCTTATGATACCAATATAATTTTGTTACTAAAATTCATCAAGAAAATAAATTCGTCCATCTATCTCATGAACACAAATGCTAAAAAGCACAGCAAATGTATAAGTCAAATTCAAGAATATATAAAAAAGGTAACACATCATGGCCAAGTTGTAATGTACAGTTGATTTTACATTTGTAATCATCAATGTAATTTACAACATTGACAATAAAAGTAAATAATCATATGATCATATTAATAGATGCAATAAAGATAGTTACTGAAATAGCATCCATTATTTTTTTAAAAATGAAAAAATCTTAGCAAATTAGAAATATAAGGAAAGGTATTTAATCTGATAAACAGTATTTACCCAAAAATCTTACAAAAATACCATATTTAATATTGAAATATTAAGAGCTTTTTCTGTGAGACTAAGACAGGATGCCTGATATTACCATTTCTCTTTAGTATCATGTTTGAGTTCCTAGTCAGTGCAATAAGTGAGGGAAAAGGACATTTAAGTTTTAAAAATAATGAATACAACTATCATTATATGATTGTGTATGCATGAAATCTAAAAGAACCTAAACTATTAGAATCAATAAGTAAATTCAGCAATTTTAGTAGATATTAAAAGATTAGCAAGGCCAGGCACGGTGGTTCATGCCTGTAATCCTAGCACTTTGGGAGGCCAAGGTGAGCAGATCACTTGAGGTCAGGAGTTCAAGATCAGCTTGGCCAACATGGTGAAACCCCATCTCTACTAAATATACAAAAATTAACTGGGCGTGGTGGCAGATGCCTGTAATCCCAGCTACTCAGGGGGCTGTGGCAGAAGAATTGCTTGAACTGGGAAGTGGAGGTTGCAATGAGCCAAGGTCGTGCCACTGTACTCCAGCCTGGGGGACAAGAGGGAAACTTCATCTCAAAAAAATAAAAATGAAGGCCAATAAAACAAAAAACTATTATATTTCTACATACCAATATACATTTAGAAAAAAATACATTTTTATTTAGAAAAAAATAAAAGGCCGGGTGCGGTGGCTCACGCCTGTAATCCCAGCACTTTGGGAGGCCGAGACGGGTGGATCACGAGGTCAAGAGATCGAGACCATCCTGGTCAACATGGTGAAACCCCGTCTCTACTAAAAATACAAAAAATTAGCTGGGCATGGTGGTGCGTGCCTGTAATCCCAGCTACTCAGGAGGCTGAGGCAGGAGAATTGCCTGAACCCAGGAGGCGGAGGTTGCGGTGAGCCGAGATCGCGCCATTGCACTCCAGCCTGGGTAACAAGAGTGAAACTCTGTCTCAAAAAAAAAAAAAAAAATAGAAAAAAATAAAAATGAAGGTCAATAAAACAAAAAACTATTATATTTCTACATACCAATATACATTAGAAAAAAATCTGATAATGTCACTTACAATCTCATCAAAAACATATCAATAACCTAAGGATAAACCTAACAAAAGATGTACTTTCTACAGACGAAGCTCCAGAAAATTACTGAAAGAATGTCAAGTTGACCTAAATAAATGAGGGTATATTTTATGTTTATGGATTGGGAGACTCAATCTTTTCTAATTTATACAAATTAATTTATAAATCCAGTGCAATCCCGGTTATTAAAAGTCTACTAGGCTTTTGGGAGAGAGGGAACAGGAGTTGACAAGGTGATTTTCAAATGTACAGAAAAATTCAAAGAGCCAAAAATAGCCATAACAATTTTGAAGAACAGCATTTTATGACTTAAACTACCAGTTAATAAGAGTTATTATAAAACAACAATAATCAGAACAGTGTCATATTGGCATGAGGATAGACAAAATAGAGTAATGAGCAAGAAAGGAGTTTCCAAGAATTGACTTACATGGCTTTTTGTTTTATAACAAAGGTGAAATGGCACTGTACTGTGGGAAAAAATCAACTTTCAATCAATAGAGCTGGGGAAATTATATATATTTCCATTAAAAGTGAATAGAAACATTCATACTATACACAAAAATCAACTGCAATGCTATTATAAATATAAACTAAATGGTTAAAAAAAAAGTTTCTAGAAGATAACCTGGGAGAACATCTTTATGACCTTGGAGTGGACAAAATTTCTTAAAAGGGATGCAAAAATCTCTAACCATAAAAGAAAAGATTGATAAACTGAACTGTGTCAAAATTAGAACAATTGTTCATCAAAAAGCACTATCGATGAGGAAGGAAGCAAGCTACAGATTGAGGGAAGACATCTGCAATACATATATCCAACGAAGGGTTTATATTCACAGTTTAAAATAACTACAAAACAGGAAAAGAAAGACTAAAGTTAAGAGAAAAATGAGGAAAGTTTTGAACAGAGATTGCACATAAAAAGGATATCTACATCACCAATTAAACTATGAAAAAATGCTCAGTCTCAAATTCACCAGATACAAAAACTTAAAACCACATTGAGATAATTCTAGCAGAATGGCCGGATTTTACTAGATGACAACATCAGTGTCAGCTAGAATTTTAGAACAATGATAACTCTCATACATCGGTTGGTGGGTGTGGTGTGAATTGACACAACCACTTTGGAAAATAATTTGGTTGTACTTGCTAAACTGAAAATATCCATTCCTGATGACCAGGAATTCCACTCCCAGGTATATACCCAATAGATTGTATGCGCACATGCCCCAAGAAATGTATACAAGAATATTCATAGCAGCACTATTTGTTTTAGCACCAAAAGTAGGTAAAGACTCTGTGTTCCTTTTGAAGTTCTCCCCCTAGACTTAGATGGATTCATCTCTATTCACCCCTGTAACCCCTGTATGGTTTTCTCGCCTCAGGATGCAGTGGGTCAGATGTGACATAACACACCTAAGATGATGTAAAATTTGTAGATATAAAATTAAATGCCCCCTTAGGAAGACCAAGGTATGGGCCCAGAGAGAAAGGGTGGGGAAATTTTTTGAAAGAAAGAAACTGGCACTCCTCATGGCAGCTAATGTCTTAGGAACCTCTGTTGACCAGTATACCAGGATGGAAACTTGACTTTCAGAAAATTGCAAGAGCTATACATTCACATGGTAATTTTTTAAAAAATCAAACAGTACAGAAATACATAAAATTAAATGTCTTTTTCCCACCTATTGCTCTTCAAGCATAATCAATATTTTTGTGCGTGCTTTCCAGGAAAAGAAGAAAGTATACTTAAAAGAGTTGAGGTACACATGTATCCTATTTTTTATATCTACCCACTGGGATAATATTACAAAACCAATCTATATCTTACTTTTTTCCTCTTCACATCAAACGGGGTGGTCTTGCCTTCTTAGCATATTGTGATTTACCTTATTTTTTAATGATTGCTTGTCGTTGCACAGATGAATCAGAATATTCTTAAACAGTTCCCATAGCATGGTTTTTAAGTTTTGTGCCCAGTGTTTAGGCAATAATGAATGCTACAATAAACGTTCTTATAGAACTCTCTTCAGATACTTCCTTCAGGGTAATTTCCCACTAGCAGAAATGTGGGGTCAAGGGTATGTGATTTTTTAAAACCTTAACTTCTTTTTTCCTTCTTTGATCATCAGGCAGGAAACTTTGATTAGTAATTGAATATGAGTACTCCCACTTCCTTTTTTCTAATTCACTAACGCTTTCGGCTCTCTTTGAAAGTGTAGCTTCTCAGATGTGCTCCCTGGAGCTGATGTGCAGTGTCCTGACTGTAAGATCAAGTCCAAGCCGGTTATTCCTGACGAAACTTCTCTTTTGGTCTCAGCCCTTGGTGGTCCAGGTCTTCATGCTACTGCGGGTGATATTACTGCTCCTGGGTGAGTAAACGGGCTTAACATGGGCCCTGGGTGGGGTCGAGACAGCTTCTCTCCACCACAGATCTGGTTCTTTCTTGGGGCTCAGCCCCTGCTGAGAGAATCTTTCCTACATGAAAGGACTAGATTTTTGAACTTTACTCTGTAGCTCAGGGCTTTCTATTGAGCCTGAAGAAAATGGTCACAGCTGGAAGAAACCTTCAATCTTACAGAGTAACCATGACACTTAAAATTTCATTAATTTTTTTTCTTCAAAAAATACTTCATAAAGGCTGGAAAATATTTCATGTTTGTTTATTCATATTGCCTTATTTATAGAAGAGCCTACTCTCCTCTCTGCAGAGGAGATGTATTTACTCCTTGTATGACAAGGCCAGATCCTGGTCCCAAGCATGAGAGGGCAAGGTTTCTAACAAGAAAGACACCTGTTTCTTTTGGACACAATTGCAAACCACTGCAGCGATTGGCTGATTAAGAAATGGAGTGGGGGAGGTTAGAGAGGGGTAGGTGGGCAAAGCAAGGACAAATCTAAAGCATATGACTTTCTTTTTGTGCCTGTGGGTATGGATAAGTTTCTATCGATTCATAGGTGCCAACTGATTGGTTTTTACTAAAGTTTAAATACTAGAATTAAATATGTTTATTTATTTATTCAGCAAATGTGTTTAGTAATAGCTATGCACAGTATTGTACCAGGTGCTGAACAATAAGAGTCCACAGGAGGCACCATGTTTATGCTCAGGAAGGTCATGACATAGAAGGGCTCCCCACAAGGCCAGTGTGCTTTGAAACAGCTATGCAACAAGATCCCAGTTAAATAATTGTCCAGGAAAAGTTACCAATGAATGCTGTAGGCTGACAATAAACTATATGCAAAATAGCTAGTAAAGACTTCATGAAACTTAGAGGTGAGTTAGGAGCTAGAGGAGCAGAAATGGAGCAGGCATGATATAAGAAAAGAGGACCCCAAAGTTGTAAGGTGCATAGACTATAATTCCTGAGGTAGGAACACATCTCAGTGTGGCACCCACATAATATGAGCATTAGCTAGGTCCTTTCAACGAGAGGGCAGAGTTTACAACATGGGCTCTGGGGTCAAACAGGATCTAGGTTCAAAACTTCATTCTGCCACCTGCTAGCTACCAGATTCCTGGCCTATAAAATAGGGTTAATCCTAGTGCTTACCTCATAGGGTTATCGACAAGGTTATATAAAATAACCCATGTAAATGCATACCATATAGAAAGCGCTCACAAAAATATTAGCTTCATTTAAAACAATACAAAGACTAAGGAAATCAAAATATTCAGGTCAATGGTGAATAATTTGTTGTTCTCAGTAAAATGTTTAAGTTCGGATAAGTCTCCAGTAGCCTCATGTGGACAGGGATGATGTGCCTCTCACTCACTGCTGGATTTCTATTGCCTTGCCCTGGAGTATGACTGGCATTCCAAAAATCTCTGTTGAATAAATAAAACGTGAATCTTATGCAGAATATCTACTCAATTTATAAACCTGCCAGTTTTCTGTCCTCTCTCTCTTCATTACCCAACTCTCAAATCTCTATCCTTCTATCTCTATATTACTAACCTAGTTCTTTAATTCATTATACAACAAAAATATATTTAGGGAATATTAAAGGAATATCTTTTATATACCAGGCACTGTTACAGGTCCTAGAGGATATATGGTGAACACAAGAAAAGTCCTAGGTCTCATAGAGCTTGCATTCTAGAGATGGGAAAATAAACAGATAATGAAAATCATTTTGGATAAATACTCTGAAAAAAAATTAAACATTACCATCTCTTGGTCAGAGCATCAGGTCTAAACGACCTGAGCCTCAGTTGATTGTTTAAAAATTAGGCATGGGCTGGGCACAGTGGCTCACGCCTGTCATCCCAGCACTTTGGGAGGCTGAGGCGGTGGATCACGAGGTCAGGAGTTCAAGACCAGCCTGACCAACATGGTGAAACCTTGTCTCTAATAAAAATACAAAACTTAGCTGAGAGTGGTGGCACACGCCTGTAATCCCAGCTACTCAGGAGGCTGAGGCAGGAGAATTGCCTGAACCTGGGAGGCAGTGGTTGCAGTGAGCCAAGATCATGCCACTGCACTCCAGCCCGGGCGACAGAGTGAGACTTCATCTCAAAAAAAAAAAAAAAAAAGTAGGCATGATGATAACAAGCCATTGGAGTCAATGATTTCATGAAGAGAGTATAGCTTAAGGAGCCTGCCATAATGCCTGGCCATTTTTGTATTTTTAGTAGACATGGGGTTACCTCATGTTGCCCAGGCTAATCTTGAGCTCCTGGGCTCAAGTGATCTGCTCATCTGGGCCTCTCAAAGTAATGCGTGACCATTTCCTTGCCCTGCCTTCTAATCAATCTCCCTCCTTCGTACTGTATCCCACTGAAGTCTGTCCTGTGATGGAGTGTTCCATCCAAGTTCCACTTCTAACCTTGTCAATCTCCTCCTTGAAACCTTTCCATGACTCCTTATGGCTTTGAAAATAAAATTAGAGCCACTTACTGGGGCTCTGTATGCCTCTCTGCTCTTTTTTCCCCCAACACTCCCAACTCCTGAGAACCAATGTCGTGTCTCCACCTCTGTGCCCTTTCTGCCTTGATTACCCTTCCCATCACCTCTCGCCACACACAAAAGCTAACATCCACCTGCAGACTCTTATGTTCTCACTCCCAGTTTTCTGAAGTATCATCTACTTCAGATACCTTCCAAGATCCATCCGCCCTCTTCAACACACATACAAACATACAATCTATACACATACACACATATTCTACACACTAGACTACGTGGCCCTTATGCCCTCAAGATACCGCCGTGTATTTGTTATTGCACTTACACCCTGTGATATAATTATATTACTTTACACTGTGTTTCTGTTTTTCCACCAGTCAACTTCTCGACAGCAGATACCATTTTTAAAGTTTATTTTAAAAGTCCAAGCACCATGCCTTAGTATTTATACATATACATTTGATGAAAAATTATTAGATTTTTTAAAAATGCATTTTTAATGGGAGAAGTAATATATGCATGGGGAAAAAAGAGAATTGTCTTAAAGCAAAAGAATCTTGGCTCTGTGCTCATCTCTGGCTCTTATTTTTTGCAGCTCCTGTCAACGGACAGCTTGGTGAGTTCTCCTGTCTTTAGCACTTCAGTGTCTCTGGATAAGAGTGTCTCTTTCTAATGAATAGAAAACATTTGTGATGGTTGCCTGAGATCTCTAATATCTCCTGTTTTCTTGCTGAGATCGGCAGGGATTTCAAAGTGATGCTTGGTTTTTTGGCATTGCCCAAGGGCTAGGATAGTGCCCTGGTCACCCTCTGACTCTCTCTGGGTGAAGTGGTGAATGCACAAGCAGCTCCTGGCCTTTGCTAGGCTCTGCATTTACTGTTATTGCCAACAAACCCCACTTAACCAGGAAGGACATCTTCAACTCCATGGCAATTGTGCTGGACTCAAGATAGGATCCTCTCCAATCAGCAAGCCAGAAAAATCCCTCTGAAAACATCCCACTGTGCTGATGTCAGCAGGAATGCTGCATTCTCTACAGCTTTGGAGTAAAATCCTCCAGGAAATGTGTGGGGAACAGAAAATCCAACAATTGGGTCCTTGAAAAAAAAGAAAGGCACAGAAAGGGGAGATAGGAGAGAAGACAAGTCATCAGCATCCCACATTCAATTAGTTCTGGCTCTTACTGCCATTCCTTCAACTAAGAGTGAATAATTGAGAATCTATGAATAGCAAGAACCCTCTACAACCCCTCTCCTTGTCCAAATCAGTGCTGCAGCTGTCACCTTGTCCTGCCCACCCCTGGATGCCAGTGAGTGACTTGTCCCTTTCTTGCTCTGCCACAATTAGCTATGATGGGATTTTTCTGGGCATTTGAATCATCATCTACAAAATGAAGACGTTAAGTTGAGCTGCCAAGGTTTTTTTAGTGACAAATCTTAAGATAATATGATATAGTCTCTCAGGGTAAGTGCAACACTGTGATTTTAAAAATCACCTTTGGAGGTTCTTGTGAGTGTATGAACATGATGAAATGGCAGTGCCGTGGTGGTTTTCTCTGGGACCCCCTTCCATGTAAGGCTACCTAACTGTGACGTTTGATGGTGAATCCTGCCAGTGTCACCCTCCTGAAATCATTTTGCTCATTGTCATCCCCTGGGCAATTTCTCCCTTGGGTGAGGTGAGGGCCAGGCTATGCAGCAGGAGGCCCTAAGGCTGGGCCTGCGGGCGCCTCTACCTTAGACTCCTTTTCTCTTTCCTCCTCAGCAAGGACACACAAGTCCGTTATTTCCCTTCAGCCTCCATGGACCACAGTCTTCGAAGGAGAGAGAGTGACTCTGACTTGCAAGGGATTTCACGTCTACTCACCACAGAAAACAAAATGGTACCTTGGTAAAGAAATACCAAGAGAAACCCCAGCAAATACCCTCGAGGTTCGAGAATCTGGAGAGTACAGATGTCAGGCCCGGGGCTCCTCGCTCAGTAGCCCTGTGCGCTTGGTCTTCTCTTCAGGTGAGAGAGAGTGAAAGACACACCGACTTTAGAAATCAATTCAGCCCATGTTTCTCTCTAGCTGTTATGACTGTTTACTTCAGACCATTTATGAGTGGACAATTTTATTTCACACTCTGGTAAGACAGGGAGAGAGTAAAATACTTGGAATACAACCAGACAAGCAATGGGATTAGCTGCTTAGCTTTAAACATTAAAATGAAGAAAATTTTTACTTGAATGGATTAATGTCTCTAAACCTGTAGTTCTTAAAGTTTGATTTGGGCAGCTTTTCCATCATACAGATACTCAGGGCCTACCCTATATTTATTGAATCAAAATCTATAGGAGTGGGGCCCAGCAATTTGTATTTTTTACAAGCTTCTCAGGTAACAGAAAGTCTAAGGAGTAATTCATTTGAATGGTTTCTGAATCTATGTATAGTTTTTTTGTTTTGTTTTTTGAGATGGAGTCTCGCTCTGTCACCCAGGCTGGAGTGCAGTGTCACTATCTTGCCTCACTGCAACCTCCGTCTCCCTGGTTCAAGCGATTCTCCCACCTCAGTCTCCCTAGTAGGTGTGACTACAGGAGCCCACCATAATGCCTGGCTAATTTTTGTGTTTCTAGTAGAGACGGGGTTACCCCATGTTGCCCAGGCTAATCTTGAACTCCTGGGCTCAAGCTATCTGCTCGCCTGGGCCTCTTAAACTGCTGGAATTAAAAGTATGAGCCACTGCACCCGGCCCCTATGTATAGTTTTAAGTCATATTATTTACTTGGAATAATACGTGGCAGAAGGGTTGTTCACTCTTATGGGTAGATAATGCATAGGTAGATAACTATACACAGAAAGAAAGATGAAGTAAGAGACATTTCCTCTTTTGCCCTAAAATCACCAGTTTTGAAATTGAAGTCATAGCATCCTTGAACGTAGTGGAAGCAGTGTACTAGCAAGGAATAAATAAAATGCTTAAGCTCTTTGACTTAACACACCCTCTCTTAAAAATTTGCCTACTGAAACAATCATAGGTGTACATCCCTGAAAATGGCAGACCCTAAAATGGTTTAAAAAAAAGAATACTCATTTTAAAAATTTATGTTACCGCCAGTGAAGAAAAACTGTGAACGTTAAAAATCAGGTTCAGTAATGATACTAATGACGTAGGAAAGTGTTCATAGCATAGTAAGTGAAAGGAAAGTCATCAAATCCACCAGTACAATTTTTATTTCATAAAAGAATACACAAGGACTCTCAATACTTGAAAGTGGAAGAGAAAACTGGAAAAACATGCCAAAATACAGGTGGTGAGGTGGTAGGTGATTTTACTTACATTTCTGCTTTTCAACTTTTCTCAAGGTGTATGCGTTCATTTTTAAATCAGAAAAAAAAAAGAAATGATAATTACTTTAAGAATTCTTTTTCCCAACCCATCTTTTAAAATAAAATCTACTTGGAAAAACAATAAAAAGGGAAACAATGAGATGAACCAAGTAACTGCGGTTGTGTTTCCCATAGCTTCGCTGATCCTGCAAGCTCCGTTTTCTGTGTTTGAAGGAGACTCTGTGGTTCTGAGGTGCCGGGCAAAGGCAGAAGTAACACCGAATACTATTTACAAGGATGATAATGTCCTAGCATTTCTTAATAAAAGCTCTGACTTCCATATTCCTCGTGCAAGTCTCAAGGACAATGGTGCATATCACTGTACTGGACATAAGGGAAGTTGTTGCCCTGTTTCTTCCAACGCAGTTGAAATCCAAGTCCAAGGTAAAGCCTTCATTATTTTGTGAAGTGAGTTGGTCAAAAGGAGACTCCCTGGGTTCATAGAGGTAGAAGAGGAGGAAAAGGGTATGCCACAGGGCACAGTCCTATAAGGACCAGAGGAAGTACAGCAGTGTTTTGGGCAAAAGGAAGCTAGAAATTGATAGCATCCCTTTCTTTCCCTACTTCTGGATGTGCTGCTGCTTGAAATGTGTTTCTCTCCAAAGCAATTCCAGCTTCACTGCTCTGGGACTATTGTGATTCTTCTCTCTAGAGCTGTTTTCACGCCCAGTGTTGAGAGCAAGCTCCTTCCAGCCCATCAGCGGGAGCCAAGTGACCCTGACCTGTGAGACCCAGCTCTCTCTAGAGAGGCCAAATGCCCAGCTCCGGTTCTGCTTCTTCAGAAATGACCAGACCCTGGGATCAGGCTGGGGCAGTTCCCCAAACTTTCGGATTGCTGCCATGTGGAGTAAAGATTCAGGGCTCTACTGGTGTAAGGCAGCAACAGTGACTCACAGCATCATATCTGACAGCCTGAGATCCTGGATACAGGTGCAGAGTAAGTGTTGGTGGGATCTGAGGCTTGCTGATGATAGGGCTGGAAAAGTGGGACAGAGCTGCACATCAGCTTGGGTCACCAGCCTCTGTAGAAAGAACCCTTACCTGCAATAATGGGAGTTGTGCAAGCAAAGAGACCCCTACTCTTGTGGACATCTGAGAAGAGCTTAGACCCAGGAAAATCCAAGGAAAGAAATGTCTTTGTTATTTCTTTCAATGCCATTGACTACTACTCTTTCTTTTCTCTCACAGGGCTGTCTTCTCTGACATCATTTTTTTTCTTCTAGGCCCACAGGGATAAGCTGTGGGCTGTGGCAGAGCTCTCTAACTCTGGGGTACAGAGGTATCTTAATGTTGTCCCAATTAACATTAATTACTGGCAATAACCAATGTGAAACTTTCTGCAGGATACAAAGACAGATAGCAACATCACAGTTACTCCCAATACGTAACTCTGGAGGCTTACCATTCCCTAGTTAAGGGTTATAAATATGCACCCCAGATTACATCACCTTCCTTACTAGTATACAGCACCATCCTTACCTCAAAGCTACTGTAGTAATTACGGTGATGAGGGCAAAACAGTTGCTGTGGAGCCCTGTGTCACCCCTCCACTCATGGCAAACTCCAGGCTCACTTCTAAGGAGACAATATGATCATCACCGGACCAGGAGTCAGGACACTAACTCTGGTCCTGGCCAGCCCTGAAAACCTACACAGCCAGGTCTCCTAGTCTCTTTCTGACTCAGTTTTCTCACCTGTAAATAAGGAAGGTCAGTCTGGGCCAAGGGAGAGAGTAGGAGCTGAAGAAAAAGCTCTAGAGGACTATGCTAATCTTTAAGGAAAAACTGTCAATGGCGAATCAATCCCTGAGGCCAATGCAAGTCAAGGGAGAAATGAACAGGAATGGGAAAGAGGACTCAGAGTAATTGGGCACTCCAGGGACAACCTTCCACAGTCATAGGGCAGAGGGAAGGAGCAAGGAGCAGGTGCAGGTAAGGGTGTGTGATTCTGATGACAGCAAGGTAAGGGTGGAGACTGGAGACTGGGCATTTGCATTGAAATTGCCTTGAAATCTACAGTAAGAGGCAAAAGCAATTCTTGACTAATTTTTTCTCTTTCTCAGTGCGCATGTCTCTTCCTGTCCTCACTCTCAGCCCTAAAGACGTCCTGAATTTTGAGGGAACCAAGGTGACACTTCACTGTAAAACCCAGGGATATTCTCCGGACACTTTGTACCGGTTTTATCATGAGCATGTCCTACTGAAGTACAAGTCAGCCCACTTTGCAGAGGGAGCATCTATCAGCTTCTCGCTGACTGAAGAGCATTCAGGGAACTACTACTGCACAGCTAACAGTGGCCATGGCCCCCAGCGCAGTAAGGCTGTGAGACTCTCCGTCACTGGTAAGCCCTGGGTTCCTGCCAATCATCCACCCCTGGCCAAGAGTCCTCTCTTACTAAGCCCTTCAGAAGACGGCATGTACCTTCCAGTTCCCTCTGCTTCTTCCTTGGGACAACCTAATGTCCACCTCCACTCTCTGGCTCACTGAACTAGCTGTCTGCCTCCTGAGCCTTGTTGCATTGCAGTCTGGGTGCCTTCACACCCCTACCTGATGGTGCAGCGGCTTTCTCTCCCTTGGTCCCCAATTTCTCAGAAGAGAAGTCCTTTTCTCGTGTTCTCTACTTGTCTTGTGGCTCCCCAGATGCCTGATTTTCACTCATTATATTATTCTCAATAGACACAGACTCAATTTCCAGGAGCACAGAAGTATCTCCTGTTCTGTTAATATCAGACATTAATCAATAAACCAGAGGCAAAGACAGGTAAGACACAAAGACAAGTAGCTGGATCACCGTTACCCCAGCATGTCCCTCTTGCTCAAGCCTTTTTTAGAGTTGATTTGGGAGTAGGTAAGAATAGCACAGGCAGCACTGGGCTGGGGGCAAGCCAGGAGACAGCTTCACTTCTGCTTGCTTGGCTTAACGCCCTCATAGCTATTCATGCGGCTGTCAAATAGTTACGACCTCAAAAAGATTTCCACTGAGCTTTGGATCTAAGTTTTGAATCATCCATGGGTGGCTAAATGCCAGGTCCAATGTTTAAGGAGACAGCATGATTTGGGCCTATACTGGAGACAGAGGGTCCAGTCTTGGCTGGGCCTGGAAGCAGACTCAGTTTCCTTTCCTGTAAAACATTAACACAAACTTGGAAGACAAGCAAGAATCCATTCCCCCCTATGAATGTGTGAGATTATAAAAGAGAGGACCAGGGAAGCCGGGGGAAGACATCAAATAACGTAGAAAGAGAACAGTGCCCCTACCATTCAGAGGCCTAAGTGGAGACAGTGACATCATGATCAAACACACTCAGAGATGTACAAAGTCCTATTCAATGGCTCGTTTTTTTTCTTCACCTAATATATACTGATTGCATATATTCCACAGACCAGACTGTACTGACATCCAAGGATGCATCTAAGACTAGACAAACCTGGCCCTGCCCACATGGTTCTTAGGGGCTAAAAGCAAATGCAGACAAGTAATAGAGAAAACATCAACCTGAGGATAAAAATACCTGGTGGCTACAGGAACAGATGAAAAGGCACACAAATCTGAACTGGAAAGTGAGAAAAAATTTCTTAGAGGAGCTCATGTATGAGTTGAGACCTGCAGGAGAAGAGAATTGTGGTGAGGGAGGGAGGACACAAGGCAGGAACTGGAGTGGGGGTTGGTTCTTGATGACTGCAGCATACACTGAACAGTGGAGAAACACGGGATGAGGTTGGGCAAGAAGACATGGTTAGAACATACTTAGAAGCAGAGTAAGGGCTTGGGCCATATCTGCAGGAGAATCTGGGCTCCATAAATGGTTTCAATGTTGGGGAAAACCACTCCAGCAGCACCGTGAGAAACCAGTCATAGAGCAGCCAGTTTGGGAAGCAGCCAGGAGTAAAGCAGAGGGTCCAACAAGACAGTGTCCAGTTGGACAGAACCCCTAGGCCAGTCCCAGTAGAGGAGATGGGATATGAGAAGGAAGGACTCTGGCCGAGAAAAGAGGCACTATGAGAGTGCGTCCCACTGTCACCAAGGTCCGAATGTGTTCTGAGCAAAAGAGGGTGAGCTGGTTTGGATAAGGCAAAGCTAACAGATGATGACAGATAAAAACTGAATCACATCCAGTGAATTTAGCCACAAAGTATTCTTTGGCAGAAATACACAGACTAGGACCGGAATACCTGGGTTTGAGTGCTGCCTCTTCACTTACTAGCTGTGTGACTCAACCACTTAGGACCTCAGCACCTTCATCTGCGAAACAGGGACAACAACATCTACCTCAATGAATTGTTGTGATGATTAAATCAGTGTCTGTATACTGATAATGATTTACGTATTATATGTGACAAACATACACACACCAGAACTTAGTTACAGACATTATAGTGTCATTATAACAGATGTCTATTTTATTATTTTTAACATTATCATCATAATTAAATTCAGAAACATGAAAATCAGCTTCAGTAGATTGTTGAGGATACAAACCAAGTTGTAATGGACAAACTGTGCACATGAGGTATGAGATAAGGAAGTAGAGATGATAAATGTAGCTCACTTCTTCCAGAAGAATGACCACAGAAAAGTGGAGAAAGACTGAGGAACTTCAAATGCAAATAGGGTTGTTTTTCTATTGTCTGGTTATTTTCTATCATGGAGAGGGTTAAGCACATGCAAATGGTGTTTGCAAGAAGCCAGTAGAGGTAAGAATGTTTTATCTAGGACAGAGGCAGATGTGCACAGGGTCAAGAGACAGAAGAAGATCCCCGCCCCCAGGCAGGCCAAGGAGGTTTGTTCCATGGTCTCAGGACACAGGAAGGAGTGAGAAGCTGGTGCAGGTAAGGGTGTGGGTCGATTGGTGGCAAGACAAGGGAATTCTTCCTTGAAAGCAACATCTCCTCTGCAAAAGAGAGGCAGGTCATACAACAAGGGGAAGTGGAAGAGGAGAAAAGATAGAGGTCTGATGGAAAAGGAACAGACAGGGAAAGAGCAGCATGCAGGACAGAAGAGCTGGTGAGAGAAGCCTGGGAAGTGGCTCCGTCACCCTGTGGGTGGGTGGGGCCTGGAGACTGAACATCTGCATTGGCCAAACATTGAATGTGTGAACCAAAAACTATCTGAGACAGGTCTCAATCAACTTGTAAAGTATATTTTGCCAAGGTTAAGGACATGTGCCGCGGATTCAGCCCCCTGCCTTCTCCAAAGATGATTTTGAGGGCCTTAATATTTAAAGGGGAAATGACAGATATTGGACAAAGATGAAGAAATTTTTAAAGGTATGGGTAAATAGGAGACAAAGTGTTCATTCTTTTGAGTCTTTGCTAAGCCTTTAGCAGAATACACAATTTATATTTAGGAAGAGGGTAGAGGAATAGTCACTTACGTCTTCCTCTAGCCCAGTGAGTCTGCATTTTAAAATCAAAGAAACAATCAGTATATATTTGTCTCCTGTAAGCAGGGGTGACTTAGAGTTCTGTCTTTTGTCCTGCACCTGTGAAAATCAGCTCTCAATTTACATTGTTAGGGTAAAACAGGACCAGTTAAGACAGAACCATTTAGAGTAAAGATCTTGGGATCCACAAAGAAATTTTTTAGTGGACAAAGTGTGAGGGAAGTATGTAGCTTTTTAAAAAAGTCTTTGTGGTGATCCTATTAAGGAATAAAATGAAAGGCAGGTTTGCCTGACACAGTTCCAGCTTGACTTTTCTCCCTGGCTTAGTGATTTGGGGCTCCCAAGATTTATTTACCTTTTACCAAATCTATAGCAAGAGGCAGAATCAAATCTTGACTAATTTTTTCTCTCTCTCAGTCCCCGTGTCTCGTCCTGTCCTCACCTTCGGCTCTGCTGAGGACCTGAATTTTGAGGGAGCCAAGGCAACACTTCATTGTGAAGCCCAGAGAGGCTCGCTCCCCATCCTGTACCAGTTTTATCACGAGGATGTCATCCTGGAGAGTAGGTCAGCCTACTATACAAGAGGAGTGGCCATCAAATTCTCTCTGACTGCACAGCATTCAGGGAATTACTACTGCACAGCTGACAATGGCCGTGGCCCCCAGCGCAGTGAGGCTGTGAAACTCTTCATCACTGGTAAGCCCTGGGTTCCTGCCAATCATCCACCCCTGGCCAAGAGTCCTCTCTCACCCAGCCCTTCAGAAGTCTGCATGTACCTTCCAGTTTCCTGGGTTTCTTCCTTAGGACAACCTAATGTCCTCCTTCACCCTCAGGCTCACTGAACCAGATGTCTGCCCCTTCGATCCTTGTCCCATTGCAGTCTGGATGCCTTCTCATCCCTTCCTAATGATGCAGCAGCTTTCTCTTCCCTGCTCATCAAATTCAGAGCAGCCAAGTGCTTTTCTTGTGCTCTCCACTTGTCCTGTACATCCACCAGATGCCTGATTTTCATTCACTAAATTGTTCTTAGTAGATATAGACTCATATTCAGTTCCCAGGAGGACAGAAATGTCCCCTGTCCAGTTAATGTCAGACATTAATGAATAACCACATGCAAAGTCATGTAAGATACATTGACAACTAGCTGGATCACAGTAATTCCAGCATGTCCCTCTTGCTCAAGGCTTTCCTTGGGGTTGATTGGGAAGTATTAAGAAAGGCACAGACAGCAGTGTGCTGGGGGCAGGCCAGGAGACAGCTTCACGTCTGCTTGCTTGGCTTAATGCCTTCATGGCTATTCAGGTGGCTGTCAAATAGGACGTCAAAAAAGTTTCTGTTGAGCTTGGATCTGTTTTGGACCATCCATATGTGGCTAAATGCCAGGTTAAAGTTTTAAGGAGACAGTGTCATTTGGGCCTATGCTGGTGACAGAGTGTCCAGTCTTAGCTGGGCAAAGAAGCAGCCTCAGTTTTCTCTCTGATAAAACAATAATACCAGGTTGGAAGATAAACAAGAATCTGGTTGCTCCCCTCCACTCCTCCAACATGGATGTCTGAGATTATAAAAGAGAGGACCCGGGAACCTGAAGGGAGATATCAAATGGCTTAGAAAGAGAACAGTGGCCCTGATATCCAAAGGCCTAAGGAAAGTGGAGACAGTGACATCACGATCAAACATACTCAGAGATGTACAAAGTCCTATTCAATGGCTCATTTCTTTACCTAATAAATACTGATTGCGTATATTCCATGGGCCAGACTGTACTGACATCTAAGAATGCATCTAAGGCTAGACCAACCCGGCCTTGCCCACATGGTTCTTAGTGGCTAATAGCAAATGCAGACAAGTAATAGAGAAAACATCAACCTGAGGATAGAAGTCCCTGGTGGCTGCAGGAGCAGATGGAAAGGCACGCCAATCTGAGTTGGGAAGTGAGAAAAAAATTTTTGGAAGAGCTCATATGTGAATTGAGACCTGCAGGAGAAGAGAATTGTGGTGAGGGAGGGAGGACACAAGGCAGGAACTGGAGTGGGGGTCGGTTCTTGATGACTGCAGCATACGCTGAACAGTGGAGAAACGCAGGATGAGGTTGGGCAAGAAGACATGGTTAGAACATACTTAGAAGCCGAGTAAGGGCTTGGGCCATATCTGCAGGAGAATCTGGGCTCCATAAATGGTTTCAATGTTGGGGAAAACCACTCCAGCAGCACCGTGAGAAACGGGTCATACAGCAGCCAGTTTGGGAAGCAGCCAGGAGTAAAGCAGAGGGTCCAACAAGACAGTGTCCAGTTGGACAGAACCCCCAGGCCAGTCCCAGTAGAGGAGATAGGATATGAGAAGGAAGGACTCCGGCCGAGAAAAGAGGCACTATGAGAGTGCGTCCCACTGTCACCAAGGTCCGAATGTGTTCTGAGCAAAAGAGGGTGAGCTGGTTTGGATAAGGCAAAGCTAACAGATGATGACAGATAAAAACTGAATCACATCCAGTGAATTTAGCCACAAAGTATTCTTTGGCAGAAATACACAGACTAGGACCGGAATACCTGGGTTTGAGTGCTGCCTCTTCACTTACTAGCTGTGTGACTCAACCACTTAGGACCTCAGCACCTTCATCTGCGAAACAGGGACAACAACATCTACCTCAATGAATTGTTGTGATATTAAATCAGTGTCTGTATACAGATAATGATTTATGTATTATATGTGACAAATATACACACACCAGAACTAAAACCACTATAGTGTCATTATAAAATAAATATCTATTTTATTTTCAGCATTACTCTCATAACTACATTTGTAATCATGAAAAATCAGCTTTAGTAGATTATTAGGGCTAAAAACCAAGTTGTAATGGACAAAATGTGCACATGAGATATGAGATAAGGAAGTAGAGATGATAAATGTAGGTCACTTCTTCCAGAAGAATGACCACAGAAAAGTGGAGAAACAGACTGTGAGGAACTTCAAATGCAAATAGGGTTGTTTTTGTATTGTCTGATAGTTTTTCTTATATGGAGATAGTTAAACACGTCAAAATGGTGTTTGGAAGAAGCCAATTGAGGTAAGGACTTTATGTCTAGGACAGAGGCAGGTATGCACAAGGTCAAAAGACATAGGAAAATCCCCTTTGGGCAGGCCAGGCATGGCTCTTCCATGGTTGCAGGAAGGAGTAAGGAGCTGGTGCACGTGAGTCTGGTGGTGGCAAGACAAGGAATTTCTTCCTTGAAATTACCATCTCCTCTGCAAAAGGCAGGCAGATCACACAACAAGGGGAGCCGTGAGAGAAGAAGAGACTCGAGGTCTGGTGGAAAATGAACAGACAGGGAAAGACCAGCATGGGGGATAGGGGAGCAGGTGAGAGGAGCCTGGGAAGTTGCTTGGCTACCCTGACAGTAGGTGAAGCCTGGAGACCTTGGACTGGAGACTGGGCATCTGCATGGCCAAGCACTGAAATCTACAGTAAGAGGCAGAAGCAACTCTTGTCTCATTTTTTCTCTTCCTCAGTTCCTGTGTCTCGTCCTGTCCTCACCCTCAGCTCTGCTGAGGCCCTGACTTTTGAAGGAGCCACTGTGACACTTCACTGTGAAGTTCAGAAAGGTTCTCCCCGGATCCTATACAAGTTTTACCATGAGGATGTGCCCCTAGGGAGCAGCTCAACACCCTCTGTGGGAGGAGTGTCCTTCAGCTTCTCTCTGACGGCAGGGCATTCAGGGAACTACTACTGCACAGCTGATAATGGCTTCGGTTCCCAGCGAAGTGAGGCGGTGAGCCTCTTTGTCACCGGTAAGTGCTGGGTTCCTGCCAATCACCCACCCCTGGCTGAGTTCTCTCTCACCCATTCCTTTAGAAATCTGCTTGCACTGTCCAGTTTTCTCCCCTTCTTGGCTTCTTCATCAACTAAGTAACTGGGGTTCTCAGTCCTCATTCAGTCCTGGCTCAGCCAGATCCCCCAAATAGCTCAGTAGATTCCCCAAGTTTTATCAAATGAACTTATGGATTGTATTTTCTTCTCATTCCTCACGTGTTCTATCAGTACACCAATTTATCTTGATGTACAGAGCATGTCCTATTTCTCTACTGACATTTACAAATTAACTCAGCTACAAGCACAGTCTTGTAGATAAATATTGGTCGAGGCCTTAAATTCTCCAAAGGATTTCCAAACAGTTAGAACTCTTATGGTAGATTTGGAAAAGGCTGCTTGTGAATAAAGGAGGAAATGGCTCCCTAGGAACCAGCTCCTCAGACTTCCGGAGTTTTTATGATCCCTTGTTTTCTAACTCACTAAAATCAGTATCATTTTGTTGCATTATTTAAAAACTTTTGTTGAAGTGTGACATACATTCAAGAAACACGTGCAAATTATATGTGCATGATTTGGTGTCTTTTTAGAAGCTAAGTTGCTTCCGTTTTTAATTGAATATTTAGTAGAAAGTAAAAGTTTATTTTCTTTACAGAGAAGCAAAATGGTATGATAGAAGAATCTTGAGCCTGAGGTGTCAGACATGCCCCTAGCATAAGTTTTTGAGTAAAGAGACTATTTTTAAAATGTAAATGTTCTAAAACTACTCCAAAGTCAGAGTGCAATCTATCTAGGAAGCTTCCTGAGTTCATGCATTCTCTATCCCATTACCATGTTTTTATCCATGTTTTACTTTCTTCTCATATTTGGCAGCATCTTAAGCCTCTTTATTTTCGGTTTCTTGACTGTCTCCCTTAATGCCAATGGAATGTGAGCTTCATGGGGACAGAACAGCATCCATCGGGGTCTCCACAACCTCCCTGCACCTACTCAGTGTTTGGCACACAGTAGATCCTCAGTCAACATTTGTAATTTAGTAAACAGATGATATGACAAGATGATAAGAAGGGATTTTTAAAAAATTAGCAAAGCCCAAGAGGAAACAAAAAACAAGCTACTTTAGAAATGAGATACCAATTTGAAGCAGTAATAATAGAATGGAAGCCTTTGAAAAAAGTTAATTGAATGAAAAATCAGTGTGAGAAAATAATACAGAATGCAAAGTAGAAAGGCAGAGAAATAAAGGCAAGAATTATAATATGGAAATCAGACAGTGGAGCCCCCCCCATTATCCAGTTATATGGATAATTAAAATGGAGACTCTGGAAAAACTGAACTGAAGAGTAAAATGAAACTCAAACATGTAGTAGACATTGTTGGGAAGTAAAGAACACTTGAATATGTAGATGGAAGTAAAGAACACTTGAATATGTAGATCAGAAGACATATGTTGATGAAGTATTGACCTTTGAGGTTAAAAACATATGTATGCGGATCCAAGATGGCTGAATAGGAACAGCTCTGGATTGCAGTTCCCAGTGAAAATGCAGAGGGTGAGTGATCACCGCGTTTCCAAATGAATTTTTACTGCCCACAGACCAGGAGATTCCTGGGCAGAAAAGCACCACGAGTCTCCAGCACACTGTTTCAGCTGGTGCAGCAGGTCTCTGCACAAAAACTCACACAAATCTGGGCACCGTTTCAACTGGCATGAGGAATGCCTGGGAAACAGAGTAGCCCATTCAACTGAAAAAAAGGGGGCTGAAATAGGGAGCCAGGCGATTTAGCTTGGCCAGTCCCACCCTGACAAAGACCAGCAATCTGAAACGCTCTGGACTGAGAGTTTCACAGCAAGCACAGCTGGACCCAGGACGGTCCAGCTCTGTGGGGGGAAAAGCATCTGCCATTACTAAGGCAGTCTGCCACTACCAAGGCAGTTTGCCATTACTGAGGCAGTCCACCAATACCGAGGCAGTCCGCCATTACCGAGGTGGTCCACCATTAGCAAGGCAATTCTCCATTACCGAGACAGTCTGACATTACAGAGACAGTCTGCCATTACAGAGGCAGACCGCCATTACCGAGGCAGTTCTAACTATACCTCTATAAACAAAACTGCAAGAAAGTTCACACAGCAGCTAAGCAGAGCCCACAGCAGCTCAGCAACACCTCTGCTGGCAGACTGTGACTAGGCTACCTCCTCGCTGGGCAGGCATCTCTGAATAAAGGCAGCAGCATGTCAGGAAATTACAAATAAAGCTCCACCTTCCTGGGACAGAGCACCTGGTAAGAAAAGGCAGCTATGAGTTCCGCTGCAGCAGACATAAACATACCTGCCCAGCAGCTCCAAATGGAACAATGGAGCTCACAGCTCAGCATTTGAGCTCCTATAAGAACAGACTGTCTCCTCAAGCAGCTCTCCAACCCCTGTATGCCCAAAGAGACACTACATAAAGGAGAACTCAGGCTGACATCTGGCGTGTATCCTTCTGGGACAAAGACAGAAGAAACTGGCAGTAACCCTTACTGTTCTGCAGCCGCTGCAGGGTGATCCCCAGGCAAGCAGGTTCTGGAATGGACCTCCAACAGTCCTATAGCAGACAGGCCAGACTGTTAGAAGGAAAACTAAAAAAACAGAAAGAAATAATTTCATCATCAACAAAAACGATGTCCACTCAGAGACGCCATCCAAAAGTCACCAACTACAAAGACCACAGGTAGATAAATCCACAAAGATGGGAAGAAAGCAGCGCAAAAAGGATGAAAACACCCAAAACCAGAACACCTCTCCGCCTCCAAGGAATCACAACTCCTCACCAGTAGGGGAACAAGGCTGGATGGAGAATGAGTCTGATGAACTGACAGAAACAGGCTTCAGAAGGTGGGTAGTAAGAAACTTCTTTGAGCTAAAAGAACATGTTTTAACACAATTCAAAGAAACTAAGAACCTTGAAAAAAGGTTTGATGAAATGCTAATGAGAATAAACAGCTTAGGGAGGGATATAAATGACTTGATGGAGCTGAAAAACACAACACAAGAACTTCGCAAAGCATACACAAGTTTCAATAGCTGAATCGACCAAACAGAAGAAAGGAAATCAGAGATTGAAGATCAACTCAATGAAATAAAACAACAAGGCAAGACTAGAGAAAAAAGAGTGAAAAGAAATGAACAAAGCCTCCAAGAAATATGGGATTATGTGAAAAGACCTAATCTATGTTTGATAGGCATACCTGAATGTGACAAGAGAATGAATCCAAGATGGAAAACACTCTTCAGGATATTATCCAGGAAAACTTCCCCAACCTAGCAAGGCAGGCCTATATTCAAGTCCAGGAAATACAGAGAACACCACAAAGATATTCCTTGAGAAGAGCAACCCCAAGGCATATAATCGTCAGATTCACCAGGGTTGAAATGAAGTAAAAAATACTAAGGGCAGCCAGAGAAAAAGATCAGTGTACCCACAAAGGGAAGCCCATCAGATTCACAGCAGATCTCTCTGCAGAAACCCTACAAGCCAGAATAGAGTGGTGGCCAATATTCAACATGCTTAAAGAAAAGAACTTTCAACCCAGAATTTCACATCCAGCCAAACTAAGCTTCATAAGCAAAGGAGAAATAAAATCCTTTATGAACAAGCAATTACTGAGAGATTTCATTGCCACCAGGCCTGCTTTACAAGAGCTCCTGAAAGAAGCACTAAACATAGAAAGGAACAGCCAGTACCAGCCACTCCAAAAACATACCAAATGGTAAAGAGCGTCAACACAATGAAGACTGCATCAATTCATGGGCAAAACAACCAACTAGCATCAAAATAGCAGGATCAAATTCACACATAACAATATTAACCTTCAGTGTGAATGGGCTAAATGCCACAATCAAATGACACAGACTGGCAAATTGGATAAAAAGCCAAAACCCACCGGTGTGCTGTATCCAGGAAACCCATCTCACGTGCAAGGATACACATAGGCTCAAAATAAAGGGATGGAGGAAGATTTACCAAGCAAATGGAGGAAAAAAAAAAAAAGGAGGAGTTGCAATCCTAGTCTCTGATAAAATAGACTTTAAACCAACAAAGATCAAAAGAGACAAAGAAGGGCATTACATAACGGTAAAAGGATCAATGCAATAAAAAGAGCTAACAATCCTAAATATATATGACCCAAAACAGGAGCACCCAGATACATAAAGCAAGTTCTTAATGACCTACAAAGAGACTTAGACTCCCACACAATAATAGTGGGAGACTTTAACACTCCACTGTCAATATTAGACAGATCAATGAGACAGAAAATTAACAAGGATATCCAGGACTTGAACTCAGATCTGGACCAAGCAAACCTAATAGACATATACAGAACTCTCCACCCCAAATCCACAGAATATACATTCTTCTCAGCACCACATCACACCTACTCTAAAATTGACCACAAAATTGGAAGTAAATCACTCCTCAGCAAATGCAAAAGAATGGAAATCAAAACAAACAGTCTCTCAGACCACAGTGCAATCAAATTAGAACTCAAGATTCAGAAACTAACTCAGAATCACACAACTCATGGAAACTGAACAACTGGCTCTTGAATGTTGACTGGATAAACATTAAAATGAAGGCAGAAATAAAGATGTTCTTCAAAACTGACAAGAACAAAGACACAATGTACCAGAATCTCTGGGACACATTTAAAGCAGTGTCTAGAGGAAAATTTATAGCAATAAATGCCCACATGAGAATCAAGGAAAGATCTAAAATCGACACCCTGTCGTCAAAATTGAAAGAGCTACTGGAGCAAGATCAAAAAAACTCAAAAGCTAGCAACCAACAGAATGGGAAAAAATTTTTGCAATCTACATGTCTGACAAAGGACTTACATCCAGAACCTACAAAAACTAAAACAGATTTACAAGAAAAAAACCAAACAAACCCATTCAAAAGTGGGTGAAGGATATGAACAGATACTTTTCAAAAGAAGACATACATGAGGCCAACAAACATGAAAAAATGCTCATCATCACTGATCATTAGAGAAATGGAAATCAAAACTACATTGAGATACCATCTCATGCCAGTTAGAATGGCGATCATTAAAAAATCTGGAGACAACAGATGCTGGAGAGGATGTGGAGAAACAGGAACACTTTTACACTGTCGGTGGGAATGTAAATTAGTTCAACCATTGTAGAAAATAGTGTGGCGATTCCTTGAGGACCTAGCAATAGAAATTCCATTTGACCCAGCAATCCTATTACTGGGTATATATACAAATGATTATAAATAATTCCATTATAAAGACACATGCACACGTATGTTCATTGCAGCACTGTTTACAATAGCAAAGACTTGGAACTAACCCAAATGCCCATCAATGATAGAATGGACAGGGAAAATGTGGCACATATACACCATGGAATACTATACAGCCATAAAAAATGATGAGTTTGTATCCTTTGTAGGGACATAGATGAACCTGGAAACCATCATTCTCAGCAAACTGACACAAGAACAGAAAAACAAACACCGCATGTTCTCACTCATAGGTGGGTGTTGAATAATGAGAACACATGGACACAGGGAGGGCAGCATCACACACTGAGGTCTGTTGCGGGGGACTAGGGGAGGGACAGTGGGGGGTAGGAAGTTGGGGAAGGATAACATGGGAGAAATGCCAGATATAGGTGATGGAGATGGAGGCAACAAACCACATTGCTATGTATGTACCTGTGCAACAATCTTGCATGTTATTCACATGTACCCCAGAACCTAAAGTGCAACTATATATATGTATATATATATATATAAAATATATATATGTATGTGTGTATGATTATAGGGAAAAATGCAGTCATCTCAGAAAGAAAAATATTAAGTTAGTCTTAGACTTTGCAGAGCACTCAATGCCAAAGAGAGAGCAATGATATCCAGACTTGGACCTTCGGGGGGAGGAATAATAACTGAGAATTTAATATCAAATCAAAAAGGCACTGTCAAAAATACAGGGATTCAGGAAACTGAGAATGCACTAAGCCTTCTTGAAAAAATCACCTAGTGACAAAATCCAGCCCAACAAGATGCAAATGAACATACAGGACTCATAATGAGGAAACAGGATTATGAAAAGCCAGTTCTGAATCTATGTAGATGATTGGTTCTCAACCCTGGCTGTACATTAGAGTCACCCAAGAACTTCGTAAAGGATACATTACTAAGCCCCTCTCCAGACTAATTCATTCAGAATCTCACAGATGGGGCCACAGAATCGATATTTTTTGACACATCCTTAGGTGAGAATATTGTGTGAACAAGATTGGAAACCACTGATTTAGATATAGAAACAAAGGCTAATCAATTGTGAGAATTATGGTCATAGAATAGAAAGTAACTAGTATAAACACTGAAGATGTAAAAAAAATTGTAACAAAGAAAAATCAGTTGGTCAGAGGAAGAAGAGTGAGTAAAGGAACAATCATTTTCTCATGATTATTATTATTTCAGAGTAAATTGTGAATTATTTCACAATTCAAAAAGAATTGACAGTTTTTAAAAATTAATGACAGATTTCAAAATATCCATTTTGTAAATCATTTCTGAATACTTTTCCAACAGTAACTCTTCGTTAATGGTTTATACTTCACTAAAATTCCATGGAAAACCAACTAGTAGCCTGTAGGGTCACATAGGATAGAACAAGTGAATTCTTCAAGTGGAGCAACCATAGATACTAGGACTGACAAAATAAATAAATGATAAAAATAAACCTGTGCACTGATATGACTATAAATGATCAGGGAAAGAAGAAACAGAAACTCATATACACCATTACTGCAACTGGCATGAGGTGGTATCACATTGTGGTTTTGATTTGCATTTCCTTGATAGTGATGTTGAACGTGTTAATGTGTTTGTTGGCAATCCGCATATCTTCTTTTGAAAATTGTCTATTCATGCCCTTTGCCTACTTTTTGATGTGATTATTTGTTTATTTCTTGATGATTTGTTTGAGTTCCTTGTTGATTCTGGATACTGGTCTCTTGTCAGATGCAGTTTGTGAATATTTTCTCCTACTCTGTGGGTTGTCTGTTTATCTGCTGATTTTTTTTCTTTTTTTTTTTCTTTTTTTTCTTTCTGCTGTGCAGAAGCTTATTAGCTGAATTCAGACTCATCTATTTATTATTGTTTTTGTTGCATTTGCTTTGGTTTGTTGTTCATGAACTCTTTGCCTAAGCCAACATCTAGAAGAGCTTTTTTTTTTTTTTTTAATGGTATATTCTAGAGTTTTTATGGTTTTGGGTCTTAGATTTATGTCTTTGATCTATCTTGAGTTGATTTTTGTATAAGTTGAGAGACAAGGGTCCACTTTCATTCTTCTACATGTAGCTTGCCAATGATCCTAGCACCATTTGCTGCACAGGGTATCTTTCTTCACTTTATGTTTTTGTTTGCTTTGTCAAAATCAGTTGGCTATAAGTATTTGGCTTTATTTCTGGGTTCTCTCCTTCCACTGGTCTTCCTTTCTGTTTTTATGTGAGTACCATGCTGTTCTGGTAACTATAGCCTTGTAGTATAGTTTGAAGTTGGGTATTTTGATGCCTCCAGATTTGCTCTTTTTCCTTAGTCTTGCTTTGGCTATGTGGGCTCTTTTTTGTTCCATATGAATATTAGGATTGGTTTTCCTACTTCTGTGAAGAACGGTGATGGTGTTTTGATGGGAATTGTATTGAATTTATAGATTGCTTTTGGTAGATGGCCATTTTCACAATATTGTTTCTACCCATCCATGAGAATGGGATGTTTCCATTTTATTGTGAAATCTATGATTTATTTCAACAGTGTCCTGTAGTTCTCCCTGCAGAGATCTTTCATTCACCTACTTAAGTGTATTTCTAAGTACTTTATTTTTTCGTGTCATTTAAAAGTTTGAATTTTTTTATTTGATTCTCGCTTGATCACTGTCGGTGGATAGCAGTTCTACTGATTTGTGTACATTGATTTTGTATCCTGAAACTTTACAGAATTCATTTATCAGATCTAGGAGCTTTTTGGATGAGTCTTTAGGGTTTTCTAGGTATACAATTATATCATCAGTGAACAGCAACAGTTTGACTTCTTCTTTTTACCAATTTGGATGCCCTTTATTTCTTTCTCTTGTCTGATTGTTCTGGCTAGGATGGACAGCTGTTTTTAATTTTAAAAATATATGTGTCCCTAACTCATTTTCTCCCTCAGTTCCAGTGTCTCGCCCCATCCTCACCCTCAGGGTTCCCAGGGCCCAGGCTGTGGTGGGGGACCTGCTGGAGCTTCACTGTGAGGCCCTGAGAGGCTCTCCCCCGATCCTGTACCAGTTTTATCACGATGATGTCACCCTGGGGAGCAACTCAGCCCCTTCTGGAGGAGAAGCCTCTTTCAATCTCTCTCTGACTGCAGAACATTCTGGAAACTACTCCTGTGAGGCCAACAATGGCTTGATAGCCCAGCACAGTGACACAGTATCACTCAGTGTTATAGGTAAGTTGACCCAACCAGCAGCACAAAAAAAACAGATCATCTCCCCCAAATTTCCCAATAGCCAAGATTGGAGCTATGGTTTCCAGAGCCATTTGCTGTGTGACATCCTGTTAGGCCTGGCACCTACACAGCCTCCATCTCTGAGTTTTGTATCCTACACATTCAAGAACTTGCACCTTCCCTTCTCTTGCTGTACTTTTCCTGCTAGCAGCAGTCCAGCCACCGTGACCAAAATTCCCCTAACATAGGAGTAAAGGCTTTCAAAATACAAACTATATTCTTGCCAACAGTGATAGTAAGAAAGAAAGTTATAAAGTTCCATGTGCTTCACCTTAGAAGAGATTTAGTTGTGGTTTTCTCTGTCTGCCAATCAATAAAAAGACCAACACAATTCTCTTATTGGCTCACACATTTTTCTCTAGCCTCTCCTGCCCCTGTCCCAGAGTGGTTTGGGCTCCCACCCAAGACCCTTGTTAGAAGACATCCTTCTCCTTCCTCCTTACCTTTTCCTGTTCCATTCAACAACATCATGATCTTCCATGCATCCTTGTCATGGGCTGACTCCTAGTCAGCCCACTCTCAGTGAAGGCTTTGGCACTGCACTTTGTCTTTCTCCCTACCCCACAATCTGTCATCATTTCATGACTCTCATGGCCACATGTATGACTCCCTTAACACCATGGTCTGTCCTCTCCACACCAGTCAGCCACTCCCACATACATATACTACTTCATCTCCAAAATGACAATTTCAAGCCCTTATTATCTGAAAAAACCTCTATCCTTCTATTTGCATCAACCTCTCTTATCACTATTGTTCTCAGACCTGAACAGAATTCCCAGGTCATTAATACCTCTACTCCTTTCCTACTCCATCAGACAATAACTCCTTCCACTGCCACCAACAAATTGAGTGTCTAGCTCTGTATCCACCCAGTAACTCATCTCTCCTTTTCCTAAGTTACAGAGGACTCTCTTCCCTACAGGTGAACATCTCCATCTGGACTCCAGATTTCATCATTTTGTGCATTCTCAGAAGCTATACAACCGATTATCTCTTTCTCCTCTGTGGCCCCCAACATCTCCCTCTCTGTAGGAACCTTCCCACTGGCATTTCACATCCTATATCTCTCCCATATCCAAGGAAAACCCTCTCTTGATCCCACTTATACCTCCATACACTACCGCTTCATGGCTAAACTTCTAAAAATAGCTACCCAGGTTGTTCCCATGTCCCCATTATCCACTAGGCTCTAATCTACTAGGTTTTTCCAACCTCTCCACCAAAATGTTTCTTACCAAGGTCATCGATGACCTCGAGGCTTTAAATCCAATGGCCATTTTTCAATCCTCACCTTCCTTGACATCTCAGATATATTCCATATTGTTTACCTTTCTTCCTTCTTGAGGCCCTCCCTTCAGGGAATCCATCTTCTTCTGTTTCTCTTCTCTCCCTGGCCACTTCTTCTCAGTCTTCTTCATTGGCTTCTCCTTTTATAGAAAACCTTGGCCGGGTGTGGTGGCTCACACCTGTAATCTCAACACTTTGAGAGGCCAAGGCGGGCGGATCACGTGAGGTCAGGAGTTCAAGACCAGCCTGGCCAAAATGGTGAAACCCTATCTTTAAAAATAAATAAATAAATAAGAAAACCTTTAAGCACTGGCATGTCCCAGAACTTTGACTTATGCCCTCTTCTCTTATCTAAATCCTTTGTCTGGATGATCCTGGGCATGGCATCTATAATTATTTCAAAACTTCTATCTCTAAAGGGGACCTTCCACTTGAGCATCTGCATGTGACATATCTTCACTCAAATATCTCAAAAGCTTGTCAATCTGAATATCTCTAAAACTGAACTGCTGACATTCCCCTCCTCTTTCGAAGGTTCCTACTTCTGTGACACACATCTCCCCTCATCAGATACACAAAGCAGAAACAGAGGAGTCTTCCTCAGATTTCTCTTCCTCACTGCTCACAGCCAGTTAATCATTAAGTCCTGCTGATTTGACTTCCTAAATATTTCTCAAATCTTTATCTCTACCACCTCTATCTAGACAAGTCCCGCCATCATTTTGACTACTGCAATGCCATTCATCTACTCTACCCCTTAATTCTACTTCCATTCCACCACAGTCCACTTTATGCACAATGGTCAAAATGGTCTTTTAAAAGCAACAAATTTGATCATCTCACACTCCTGCATAGACAGACTTATAGGCTTCCCATTGCTCTATGAAGAAGGATCAAAATTCTTAGCATGGCTTATCAAGTCCAGCCTAGATTTCCAGCCTCCTATTTCATGGTAGTTTGCAGACTCTTCTCAGTGTGACGCTACCTTATTTCAATAATTCAAATGTGCCAGTCTTATTCCCAACTCAGGGCCTTTGCACATAGTTTGCCTGCCCAGCGAACTCTATACCTCCTTCTTCAACTGGCTAATTTCAATGCTAATTTCAAAGGTCATTTTGTGAGGAAGCTTTCCTTGACAACACATACATTTCATAGTACCCTATCCTTTATCAATTATCAGTTTTTAATTCTATACTTACTGCATTTTTATTTAATTGCTGCCTCTCATCCTTCTATACGGTAGGCTCTATGAGAGCAGGAACTGTCTTTCTCACCATTGATTCCCTAGGACATCATACCATTCTTGGGACTTATTAAATGCTCAATTAATTTTTATTTTTACTCAATTTTATAAAAATTTTTGTTCAATTAATTTTTGATGGGTGAATGAATATAAAAATGAGCAAATAACATGACAATACTCTTTCTGTTGTGGGCCCTATTTCTGATGCAGCCCAGATGCAATTACATCCCTGGTGATATAAGCCGCAAGTCTCTCTTGTTCTTCCTTTTCTTTTGGACTGATTCCTCCTTTCTCCAATTGTCTTTTGACTTCTAAGATACCTGTCAGTTTAATCCTGTTTTCACAATCCTCAAACACATTTGAGTTTGTGTATTTCAGTATTCCAAACTGTTTATAGCGCTACACAAATGTTATTCTTTCTGGAGATCTGAAAATATTGCTGAGTTTTGAGTAACATCACAAGGGCATTAAAAGCTGAGAAAAACATTTTTCCATTTCAAATGTCTTTAGCATGAAGGAATATATTTCAGCAGAAGCAGCTGATGGTTAACTATTTTTCCTCCCTCAGTTCCAGTGTCTCGCCCCATCTTCACCATCAGGGCTCCCAGGGCCCAGGCTGTGGTGGGGGACCTGCTGGAGCTTCATTGTGAAGCCCTGAGAGGCTCCTTCCCGATCCTGTACCTATTTTATCACGAGGATGTCACCCTGGGAAAGATCTCGGCCCTCTCTGGAGGAGGAGCTTCCTTCAATCTCTCTCTGACTACAGAACATTCTGGAATCTACTCCTGTGAGGCAGACAATGGTCTGGAGGCCCAGCGCAGTGAGATGGTGACACTGAAAGTTGCAGGTGAGTGGGCCCCGCCCACCAACCACATAGCCCAGAATTGACTGTGCCTGCTCTCCCACAGCTGACAATGGAGCCACAGAGCTCCTCAGGGCTGTTTGCTTGTGTGGCATCCCAGCACACTTTCTGCCTGCAGAGCCTCCCTGTGAAAGTCTGGGATCCTTTGTGGTACGGTTCCGGGAATCTGAAGTTTCCCAGCAGTCTTCTTGAATGTGATCAAATCCCCTCACTAAAAATGCAAATAAGACTTTTTAGAACATAAACTATATTCTGAACTGAAATTATTATATGAAAGTGAAACCAAAGAATTCTAAATATAGGTTTCTTTGCCCTAGAAAATATTAGGCTGCTTCTTGTCCAGATTCTTCTCTCACTGACTTCCACCAATCCTCTATTCTTGAGTTTCTTGCATTACCGGGGATGTAAATGTTCCTTACATTTCCACAGTAAAAATCCTATGTTAACATAAGCTGTGTGCACAGCTCTTCAGGAGACACACTCAGTGATCTTTAAAGCAAGGGACACAGGTGACCAGGGCAGAAAACAGGAGCAAGATGACATGGAATGGAAACGGCCACCTATCAACCAAACTCCTCCATTCTCAAAGCTGTTCTTTGATCCCATGCAATTAAGTGTAATAACCCAAGGAAAGCCGCTTCTAGTGAGCTTTGAATGTTTCTGTTGATGACCTCCTACAAGCCAAACTTCGAAACCCCTGTTTAGAGAGACCTGGGGTTTAGCAAAAGTATGCTAAGGGGTGTTGAGGTGAATGTTCTAGACTTGGCTCTGAAGATAACTAGCTGTGTGACATTGGCCAAGTGCCTTTCCCATACTGACCTCAATTTCCACACCCATAAAGTGGGAAAATCAGACTAGATGAAAATCATATCATCCCCTGTCCTAGAATTCTATGATTTTGGCAGACAGGGAATATGGATTATGCAGACTTACAGGTTCCTAGAAGGAGATGTGCGAAAGTAAAAGTGGGCTGTCCCTGCTTTTGGAATATATCCTGGAGAAACAGGAGACCATAAGATGGTATGCAATCACCATTCTAGTCATGTAAAGCAAAATATACAATGATGCTTTTATTCCCCTTGGCAAGATGCCTGGGTATCATAGGAATAGAGACAGAGCCACATAAGCAGGCTGATCTGGGCATGCTAACCTAGGATCCAGCATCTCACAAAGTAGCCAGTGCAGCCATCTCATTGGCATCCAAGAGATGATGACTTCAGATTTTCCTATTCGGTAAGTGCCAAGACCAGCTTGGTCATGAAGACCCCAACGCAGGTGGTGCTGAAGGAATTAAGAAACAGACACAGAGATAGAGAGCAAAAGGTGGGATGACAAGGGGCCACAGCGTTCCCAGTTGAGAGCCTCAAATAGAGTTTGACCCACACATTTATTGACAGCAAGCAAGTGATAATCATCATTTAACTAAAAGCATTCTTCTCAGGGAACAAAGCATTCTTTACTAGTGGCAAGAAACAGGCTCCAGTGTGTTTATCTACTGCAGCTAGAACATGTCGTTAAGGCATGGGTCACTCATTCTATCGTTTGCGGTTCAGAAGCCCCCAAGTAAGAATGGGTTAGGTCTTTCTTTCCCTTGCTCCAGTAAACCAACAACCTCTAGCAATGTGTGTCACTGCCATCACAAGGATGTTACAGTGCTATAGATATTCTGTTTATGGCCAGTATCTTTAAGGCCTGTTTATGCCAGGCTTAGGGCCTGCTCCCAACATGCTCCCAACAGGTAAGCTCATTCTTCTTCCCCCACAAGCAGCACCAACCTCAACCCATTTTCCTGAGATTTGCAGGGACTCTTGCCACACAGTTTATACACCTGTCCCTTAGAGCTGACATACAGGCATGTGCCACTGACCGAGGGCTGCTCCGTCTCTCCTTGCAACACAGCAAGCCAATACATCATACCTCCCACATTCTGTACTTATGATTTCATGATTTTCTGCTCATCCTCACTCCTTTGTTTCTATAATTCCCTATCATAAATGCATGTTATTTCTGCTGCTGCTGTTATCACAGCTAAAGGGCTTCTTGTGCAGCCTGAATAAATTGTGTCTGAGTCCTGAAACTAGGACACAGGTCATAGGGACCAGAAACTTCCAGAAAAGGAAATATTATTTCTTATTATCATCGTGACCAATGACATCATCAACATCACTGAGACTTCATCAGGCTCCAGACTCTGTGGTTAGTGCTTAATATCCAATATCTCATGTAATCATTAAGATAAACCTGGGAGGATAAATTTTAAGCCATTTTCAGAAAAGAAACTGAGATTTAGAGAAGTGAAGTAACTAGCTTGCAGACACACAGCTAGCAAGGGTAAAGCCAGGTTGAAGCATGGTCCTTTCTAACTCTTTACATTAGTCTGAGACATTATGACATTTCCTCATCCACTGTGGCCACTTTTTAACACAACCTTTTAGTTTTTAATAATTTGTTATTCTGAAAGAACACATGAATCTTCATGATGAAAAAGATCAAACAATACAAAAGGGCCAATACTGAAAAGTAAAGGTCTCTTTCTACCTGTTCATAATCAATTCATATGCACATACTCTCTAGACATAACCATTGTTAACTGTTCCATGTGTATGCTTCTAGGAATATTCTATAAACCTAAAGGCATTTAATTTTTACAAACCTAGAATAATATTATACTTATAGTTATGCCAGTTGCATTTTTTAACTGAAATATATATCTCGACTTTTAAGAAATACATCTTGGATAGCATTCGTATTTCATTACCCAATCCAGTAGGTTGCCTCTAATTTTTAGCTTTTATTAAAATGCTACAATAGAAATTCTTGTACAAATATATTGGCATACTTTATGCTGGTATCCCTAAAGGAGATGGCTCTAGAAGTAGGACTTGAACTCCTGGGCTCAAGGGATCCTCCTGCCTCAGACTCCCAAATCATTGGGATTACAGGTTTGGGCCACCGCACCTGGCCTGCTACAAGTAGATTTGTTGAGTCAGAGTTTATGGGCACTTTAAATTTTGTAGCTATTGACAAATCATTCAAGGAAGTTTGTTAAATTTGTATTATCACCTAGAGCAAATGTAGATGCCTGTTTATCCACAAGCTCATCGGTATGATCAGTCCATGTAAGCTTTGCCAACCCGAAAAATTGAGAAAAGAATAGTATTGTATGGTTGTCTTTAGCTGTATTTCATTGATTAGTAATGAAGGTGATAATCTTTTTATATATTTATGGTCTATTTGAAGTTTTCAGTGATTTATATCTTTTTACAGTTTTCTACTGGATGTTTTTGTACACTGAAAACTATTAGTAGGTCAAGCTAATTAGCTTTGTTTATCACTGTATTTTAATCTACTTTCCAAGATTGAGATATGACTTTTTACATTTGTTGATAATACCTTTTGTTTTTTACAAATATGTTAGAAGCAGAAACTGCTATTGACTTTTTGTTCTCCCTCAGTTCTGGTGTCTCGCCCAGTCCTCACCCTCAGGGCTCCCAGGGCCCAGGCTGTGGTGGGGGACCTGCTGGAGCTTCATTGTGAGGCCCTGAGAGGCTCTCCCCCGATCCTGTACTGGTTTTATTATGAGGATGTCACCCTGGGGAATAGCTCGGCTCCCTCTGGAGGAGGAGCCTCCTTCAACCTCTCTCTGACTGCAGAACACTCTGGAAACTACTCCTGTGAGGCCGACAATGGCCTAGGGACCCAGCGCAGTGAGGCAGTGACACTTTATATCACAGGTAAGTTTCCCATGCCTGGGCCACAGATGGAGACAAAATGTTTCCCCCAAAGACCCTCTGATAACCCTCACGGTGCTTGACCAGAGCGGCACTCCTCAGGGACAAGTAACACAGCTGGCAGTTCTCTACATTGCTATTTCCTGAAGTGCTTCTGGAATGATGACGTGGGGGCTTGGAGCACAGGGTGGCAGGGGACAAAGAGCAACACTGACTTTAGAGCTCCTTACCTGGCTGCCTCTTCTCTCGCCAGCCACCACCCACCCTGACCCTTGACCCTTGCCTCAGGCACAGAGACAACTTCCTCACAAAGACGGCAGCCACCTTCTGTGCCACATCGGCCCCTGCTTAGCTGCTGGGACCCTGCTCACCTAGGTTCACCCTCAGGCCCAGGCAGCAGCTACCGGGGGTGGGCAGTTTGAGACCATAGCCTCTCCTCTGGCTCATTTGTGGGGTCTCCCCCTCAGGGTTAACCGGAAACAGAAGTGGCTCTGTTGCCACAGGCATCACCGGGGGCCTGCTCAGTATGGCGGGCCTTGCTGCTGGGGTACTGCTGCTCTACTGCTGGCTCTCGAGAAAAGCAGGTGGGTAACTCTGGGTACACCTTGGCTTGAGTTCATGCCCTTCCCAGCAATGCTCCCTCGGGCCTCATGCTGCCTTTGTGGCCATCCTCAGGCTCGCAAGAGTTCCTCCGTTCTGTCCCTCAATCCTCTGCCTTTCCCGCTGGGTTCTCCAGAATTGCTTTTACCAAATACAGTTTCCAAAACAGACCTATAAGGTGGAAAATATCTTGATGAGATGGTTTATCTACCATCATAAACCGCAGAGCGTCTTCTTCTGGACGCTTACAAGACCCCCAAGGAAGGGGAATAGGAGGAGAAAAACTCTGAGAAATAGAAAATAGAAACCAGATAGGATCCAGTAATTTTCTGATATTTTAAATGTACACTCTTTTTACAGCTGATCAAGTCTGTTTTCTTGCCTGTGGCTACCAATCATTATCTTTAAAACCACCAGGTTAAAGGATAACAGATTGTGGACTTCCATTCCACATCATAACATACCCCTCTGGCAGGGTCAGTAGCTTTTGCCCAGTCTGCTGCCTCCCTGGGGCATAACAAAGAAGGATTCCACCTTCAGTGACAGCAACTCCTAGCAGTTTCTAAGTGAGCCTTCTCTGATCTGTGCCCCTCTGAGGGTCTCCTCGTCCTGAATCCAATAATCCTCTGCTTCCTTTATAGGGAGAAAGCCTGCCTCTGACCCCTCCAGGTAAGACCTGAGCTGCATTCCTGTGTGATTAATGAAATGTCCACAGAGTGGAAAAACTGAATTGAATCTGTGATTACCAAGAGAGCACAGTTTCTGCCAGGTGCTGCTGAGATGGGCTGTGCCCACTTCCTGCTGTACCTCCCTGGGGATATCTCAAGGCAATTCCCAACACCTTTGCACCCACCCCCTTAGCTGTATAGGCTGTTTGCTCATCAAGTGTGAACTGCTTTTTCATTTATTAACCCACATCCCTGGACCATTCTTGGCTTGGTTGTCTGAGTGACCACTATGACCACCAAGTCATTCCATGTCTTGAGATGACTTTAGATCAGTCAACCTGGAAATCTCTGGAGATGCTGATCTCATCAGCACCTCTTGTGATAACAACTGAGAAGATGGAGCTACACAACTTGATCACCCAGAGAGGTCAATCTGCCAGAAGGACGTAGTCCCTATGAAGAAGGGGTCACCGTCTTGTATCCCAAAGGTAGACTTTAGGAGCCACACAAAGGCTCACCACTATCCCTGGGCAAGCCCACGAGAGCAGCACGCAAACCATGCAGAGCGCCTCAGAGCCTTCTGATCACTGAGCATGCAGGCTTTGGAGCCAGCTTTGAGCCTTGGCTCATCCCCATTCTTGTTACATGATATTCATGTAACAAGGCTCCACTTCTTGGAGCCTCTGTTTGTTTCAACTACAAAATGAGGATGAAATAGAACATCATGTCGTTATAAGCATCAGCACAATGCCTGTTACATACTAGATGAGCATAAAGCCTGGAGACATAGATAATATGATTATGATTCATAATAAAATGCCCATGGGCCACTTGTTATGTACTCCTCCATGTTTCCAGGCTTGGCAGCCACCTTGCAGTAGAAAATCACTTACTAGGAGTAATCATTAGAGCTACTTTGTCAGGATTCCTAAGAAACATTCACATTTCCCTGTCTCACAGGAGCCCTTCAGACTCAGACTCCCAACAGCCCACCTACCACAATGTACCAGCCTGGACAGAGCTGCAACCAGTGTACAGCAATGGTGAGGCCCAAGGACCCCTCAGTTGGCAGAAGCCAGAGGGCTGGTGTGGGAAAGAGGTGGGGCAGGAGATGGGGAGGGACTGTGCCCAGCCCTGCAGGGCTCTAGTCATTCCAGATAAGAGACTCTTGCTGGGGGAGGAGGAAGTATCTCTAACGAGAGGCAAGAACCTTAGCATCCTCTGAAACTTCAATTTCTTTCTAAGTAAATCCTAGAAGAGAAGATGTGGTTTACTCAGAAGTACGGAGCGTCCAAAAGAAAAAGAAACATACTGGTAAGACCCAAGGAAGTCTTTGTTCTGGCCAACCCTCAACTTAGATAGTGTAGCTCAGTTTCCACCCCCTCAGCAACTCTGAGCCAGCCAGGCATAGAGCCGCCCCTCCCACTGGGTCATGGGACTTCTTTTTTTTTTTTGAGACGGAGTTTCACTCATGTCACCCAGGCTGGAGTGCAATGGCGCGATCTCGGCTCATCGCAACCTCCGCCTCCTGGGTTCAGGCAATTCTCCTGCCTCAGCTTCCTGCGTGGCTGGGATTACAGGCACGCACCACCAGGGTCATGGGACTTCTTAATTTGCGCCTAAGCCACTTCAGGCGAATCCAAGCCTCCCCTGCACTCTCCTTTCTCCATTATCTGCAGAGGGCCTCAGTATAACCTGATTAACAAAAGCATCCTTTGGGGCATTCCCTTAATCTCTCAGAGCTTCAGTATCTCTATCCATAAACTGTGACTACTTCCCTACCGCTTAGTCAGTTCCCGTTCCTCTAACAGAGTACCATAGACTAGGTGACTTAAAGAACAAATATCTATTTCTCACAGTTCTGGAGGCTGGAAGTCCAAGATGAAGGTGCCAGTATAGTCAGGTTCTTAGTGAGCGCCCTATTCCCAGTTTCCAGACAGGTGACTCCTTGCCGTATCCCCCACACAGCAGAGAGAGAGGGAGAGATCATCACTCGTGTCTCATCATCATGATTATCATGACATAATTGTCACCCTAGGCTCCATTTCCAAATGCCATCACATTGGGGATTAGGTCTTTAACCCATGAATTTGGAGAGCAACACATTTAGTCCACAGTACTTACCTACCTGTACTAGTTTCTGATTGCTGCTGTGTCAAATTACCATAAATTTGGTAGGATGAAGCAATACGAATGTATCATCTTACAGATCTGTGGGTCAGAAGTCTGACATGGGTCTCACAGGGTGTTGGCAGGGCTGTGTTCACCCCTAGAGGCTCCAGGGGTGCAAGTGTTCTTGCCTTTTCAGCTTCTAGATCTCACCCACTTTCCTGGGCTGGAGCTCCCTTCCTCTCTCCCCAAAGCCAGCCAAGTAGTCAGGTCGTATTTCCCTAACCATTCTTCCATAGTCAGGTCTCCCTCCGACCTCAGCTGAGAAAAGTGCTTGGGTTTTCTCAAGGTGAGTATATTGGGCCCACCTGGATAACCCAGACTAATCTCCCTGTCTCAGGGTCTGTAATCCTCATCGCATCTGAAAGGTCCTCTTTTCCATTTTTAGGGTAATATATTCACAGGTTCCAGTGATTAGGGTGTGACATCTTTGGGGGCACATTATTATAGCTACCACGCTGTTTCTTAGGGTTACTGGAGGACTAAATGAGAAAATCGGTGTGGAAATGCTGTTGAAACTGCAGAGGGTGGAGCAGCTGTGGTGATTACATGCTGGAGGTCTGGCTGTGTCATCAGCCCTCACTCACAGTCAGTGGTTTGAAATGAGGGCATCCCAGCCTGGCTGCCTCCTTACTAGGAGCAGGAAAGAGAAGCAAAGTCCTTTGGGGCAGGCTTTTCTTTCTACCTCTGCTTCATTAAAAGTGCTGCGTGATTTCAGCCAGTGAGCTTCCCTCTTTGGTGTTCCAATTTTTCTTATATAAAGTCAAGTGAATTGTGTTTGTGCCTCATTCTTGGTTCTGTAGCACCCCTCTGAGACATGTGAACTCATTCACTCTTACAAGCTCCTTTGAGGTATACGCTGTTACTACTCCCTTTTTACAGATGAGGAAACCAAGGAATAGATACCTTAAATGACTTGCCCGAAATCATACAGACAATCACCAAGCAGTCTGTCTCCAGAGTCCAAACTCTGGACCAAACTCTGCTTTTCTCAGTGCAATTCCAGGGAGTCCTGATGCTCATTCCAAGCCATTCCAAGGCTCATTCCCCAAAAAGGGAGAGCCGTGTCTGGAGAATGTCATACTTTCCTCCAGTTTGATGATAATATAACAATAATAATTTCTAATATCTATCATGTGTTGAACAGTTATGTGCCAGGTATAGTTCTATAAGTGCAATAAGTAAATACACTATATTTGTATGGATGGCTCTTAGAACTGTACCTGTAGCACATATACAGAACTATGGCATGCATACATATGATAATAGAGAGAAAATGTATTGAATATAGCAATCAGGACTGTACCTGACACATAAAAACTGCTCAACACATGATAGATGATAGAAATAGTGTATGCACAGACACATGAGCACACACATATGTGTAAACTCATATAGCTTCACCAAAACCATACAGGCAGATGATATTTTTATTCCCATCATATAGATGAGGCAACCGAGGCAGGAGATGTTGAGTGACGTCCCCCAGCTGCAGAGGTGACAAGGCAGGCCGCAGGCTCAGTCTCGGGCGGTCTAGACCTGCATGGAGCGTGCTAAAACTCGCACCCGCCACACCGCCTCTCCAGAACACATAATACCGATTATGCTCAAAGAACTAACAAGATAAAAGACAAACGTCTTTCTCTGGAGAGCCCCTAAGCAGCTCCGAGTGGGCCACGAAGTGTGAAGGGGTGTTGAAGAGAGGGTCTTAGGAATGGCACGGGACGGGGTGGGCACCGACCAAGGGCAGCGATGGACTCACCGCGCGGAGGGGAGCGGGCCTCCAGGAGCCTCGGGGCTGGCCTGACAGCGCCGGCGCAACGGGAGAGCTCCACGCCAATCTTCCACAGCTGAACACTTTCCTCTTTCCACAGCGGCCTCTGACCCCAGGCATCTCAGGAACAAGGTGAGTCTTCCCCTCTGCCTGGCCTCCCCCACCCCCAGGCCCGCCCTGGTCTTCACGCGGGTGCTCTTGTCTCCTAGGGTTCCCCTGTCATCTACTCCGAAGTGAAGGTGGCGTCAACCCCGGGCACCAAGTCCCCGCTCTGCGCGTCCTCAGCTCCTCACAGATGAGCCCACATGTCTCTCCAGCTGCTGTCTCAGCCTCTGCACCCCAAAGTTCCCCTCGTGGGAGAAGCGGCATTGAAGTGGGAAGATTTAGTCTGCCCCAGGCCACATCCACGGGCCTTCGTTTCCATGTGCTCCTTCTCAGTGTGACCAGAACGCAGGGCCCTGCCCACTCCCGCCTATTTTCTAGTTACAGCCCTGCCCGGCGGGTTGTTTCATCCAATGGCGACGCACTCCCATCCCAGGGCGCAGCACGTTTCCGTTTCCGTTTCCCGGCTTCCTTAGCGGGCTTCAGCTGTGGTTGCTATTCTGAGTACTGCTCCCATCGCACCCCCACAGAGGGGGTCTTACCACACAAACGGAGAGTGGGCCTCCAGGAGCCGCGGGGCTGGCCTAAACTCCGACACAGAATTCCCGCTCTTAGCGGATGCATTTCTCAATTGTCATCAGCTGGCGGAGCTACTGCAGTGTGCTGTCAAACAAGACAGTGCACATCCCGTGCGCACAGGACTTGTAATGGATCTCCCCACAGGGGCTGCATTTTACACTCCTCCACCTGTCTCAAACTCTGAGGTCAGCATTTGACACCAGTGTAACGTCTCTCCTGCTCATGTGCCAATATCTACCTGCCCAAGTAACTGGCTTTCAGACACCAGGTCCCAGGTACCTCCCATCCTAACGGAAGCAACCTAGCAAGTCAAGGCCAGGAGGACCCGGGTGCAGATAGAACACATACTGGAACATAGGAGGTGCTCAATGACTGTTTGGCTGAGTGAATGAATGAATGAATGCATGAGGAAGGAAACTATTGGAACATAGGAGGTAGTCAATGACTATTTGAATGAATGAGGAAGAAAATTGCAGGTAATCAAAATGGCATAAAATCCAGTGTGCTCTCTAGGAAGTCCAGGATGTATCCTGGCTTCTCTTAGTAAGAAATCATGTAAGAAAAGGAGCTTGAGTGAGGAAAACTGTTCAGCAAGAGGAAGGGCTTCTCACACTTTCATGTGCTTGTGGATCACCTGAGGATCCTGTGAAAATACTGATACTGATTCAGTGGGTCTGGGTGGAGCCTGAGACTGTGATTCTAACATGCTCCCAGGGGATGCTGATGCTACTGATCCGTGGAGAGGCAGCATGTGCTGCCCAGAGCCTAACTCGATTCACATGGATCATGCTGCTTCCTGGCCAGCCCTCGGCCACAGCACCATCAGCTGCTGTTGCTGAGAGAGCTTCTCTGTGACATGCTGGCTTTCCTCAGCCACCCTGGCAAAGGGAAAGTAGCTGCCACTATCTTTGTTTCCCCACCTCAGGCCTCACACTTTCCCATGAAAAGAGTAAATGAATACAGCCTAGCCCTCTCAATTCAGAGTTGTTCTCCCATCTCTGAGCAATGGATGTTCTGTTCCACTTTTATGAGGTCTATCACACCTCATCTTGAACTTTGCCTGAGACGTTGATCACCACCTGTGGGGGTCTGTCCTGCAAACCGTGACAGATGAATAAAACACTCAAACACAGAGTACAGTGAATGAGTGGGCCAGGGAGGTTGTCAGCTGCTCTCAGAGCGCAATTGCAGCTACGCGACCCTTCACAAGCTGTTCCTCCTCATGTTTATTCAGCATAGATTTAATAACAGAGGTTTTAAGTCATCACACTTGTGGATAATTAATATGGTTAAAAGAGTTGTCTTATGAATGATAAAAGGTTTAGTTCCAGGGCCCAGAGCAAACACCATTAATGGGTAAATTCCCTGGTGGACCTCCTCCCACGAGGGCCATCCGGCTCAAAGGTTACATGAGTAAACAAGCTAGTTAGAGGAGAGACAAAGGAATGTGGGGTAAACAGACTTAACTGGCAAAGCTTCCATTATCCCTAAGCTTTACCCTGTGACCTAATACTCTAAGATAAGAACTGGCAACCTTCAGCCTGTTCTATTATTACAAGTTATCAAAACCTTTTGGCCTACCAAAAGGTTTGAGACTATATCTTATAACGTTCCCTAATATTTCCCTTAATATTTTGCCAGCCACCCTGAGTGAATCCCAACATTTGCCCCCAATGGATTGTATAGTGATCACTTCTAAGGCCCATGGCCCTGAAATAAAATCCTTCCAAGGGCATTCAAAGCTCCACTCCAGCTGTCACATGGCTTTTCATGCTTCCAAGTGTCAGGGCCTTGCCCAGATAGACAGAGCTGGGTCTGCTGTCCCAATCTTTCAAGGAGGAAATCAGACACCCGAGACAGGAGCTGGTACCGCGGCCCACTGCAGCCTCACAGAGCATGAGGCCCAAGGCATTGTCCTCACCACAGATGTGCAACTAACATACAGGTGGAGCAAGAAAAACACATTTCCACTGACACCGCTTTTTTAGGCCTAGTTGAAAGTCAAGTGAGGACAGCAGCAAGCGTAGTTTCTGGGACCACATTGCGTGTGTGCGAGGCCCGGTAGGTCTCGGCAGAGGCCTGTGGAGAGGCAGTGTGTGCTCTGGCTGCCCAGGGCCTAACTCAATTTGCACAGATCATCCTGCTTCACGGCCAGCCTTCGGAGCTTGAGACCAGTGTCTTCTCTCCAGGATTAAAGAAAAAAATCTTCTCACAGTCTATGCTGGAGGCCACATCACCAACAAAGTTCCCACCCCATGCAGCTCTGAGAAGGCAGAAGCTCCATGCTCAAAAGAGGAAATTTAAATTTCTCATTGGGAAAGTAAGGTACCCTCGTCCCAGAAGGATAACTGCACAATGGCAGAACGAACTCCACCCTCATGTGGGTGGGCCCATCCAGTCCGTTGAAGGCCTGAATAAAACAAAAGGGCTGATTCTTCCTCTAGTGAGGGGAAACTCCTCCTCCTTTGGGTTAGGACATAAGTTTTCCTGCTTTCAGATGCAAACTGAAAAACGGCTCTTCTTGGGTCTTGAACTTGCTGTTATTTGAACTGAAAGAAACTACACTATTGGCTGTCCTGGATCTCCAGCTTGCTGACTGTAGATCATGGGCTGTGTCAGCCTCCACAGTCACAAGAGCCAATTCATTCAAATAGATCAGTCTTTATGTGTGTATGTGTATGTGTGTACATATATATGTGTGTATATGCAGATTAGGTATATCTATGTGCTTACCTCATGGGTGCATGTGTGTGCACACACAAAAACATATACACACACAAGCACACACATCCTGTTGGTTTTGTTTCTCTAGAAAACCCTGACGAACACAATGACTGACAAGGATGTGAGAACCAAACGGGCCGGCTGAGTGTCTGCTCTCCAGGCTGGACTTGAGACAGCCCACCTGAGGGAAGGCTTCAGTCTTTAAGATAGACACATTTTTCTGGTTTGCAGCCTTGTGCTGGTCCTGAGTGAAGAGGAAGGAGAAAGTGAACAAATTCCCTATGCTCTAGCTCGAAATAGGACAGACCCAGTGAAATGGGTCTATCTGTAATTTAGAATGAGTAATGCAACAAAGAGCAAACCTCAGCCTCAAATATAGCGTGGCCTGGAGTGGACCCGAGTTCTCGAAGGACAAAATCTCGACTGCCAAGCAGTGGTCTCAGGAGGCTCCACGGAGGCAGAATGTCTTTTTTCTTTTTTTTTTTTTTTAATATTTTGTTGCGTTTTAGGTTTTAGAGTACATGTGAAGAACACGCAAGATTGCTGCATAGGTACACACATGGCAATGTGGTTCGCTGCCTTCCTCCCAATCACCTATATCTGGCATTTCTCCCCATGTTATCCCACCCCCTGCTCTCCCTCCCCTAGATCCCCCCCAGAGACCTCAGTGTGTGATGCTCCCCTCCCTGTGTCTATGTGTTCTCATTGTTCAACACCCACCTATGAGTGAGAACATGCGGTGTTTGATTTTCTGTTCTTGTGTCAGTTTGCTGAGAATCAGAATGTCTTCTTTGGGGGAAGAGCCCCACACACTAGGAGAACAGTATGGCTCTTGTGACTGTGGAGGCTGAGCCAGCCCATGATCTGCAGTCAGCAAGCTGGAGATCCGGGACAGCCAGTAGTGTAGTTTCGTTCAGTCCAAATGGCAGCAAGCTCAAGACTCAAGAAGAGCTGTTTTTTCAGTTTAAGTCTGAAGGCAAAAAAAACTCATGTCCCACCCCGAGGCGAGAAGAGTTCTCCCTTACTAGAGGAAGAATCAGCCCTTTTGTTCTGTTCAGGAAACAATGGACTGGATGTGCCCATCCACATTAGGGAGGGTAATCTGCTCTATTTAGTCTAATTACTCACATGTTCGTCTCATCCAGATAGACCCTCACAAAACACTCACAATCATGTTTGACCAAATGTCTGGACACTCTGTGGCCCAGTCAAGTTGACACATAAACTTCACCATCACAGCCATAAAGGTGGTCTTGGCTTCACACATTTTTTGGGGGGGGTTGTTTCTGTGTTGGTTCAGAACTCTGAGCTGTTACTTTTAGGGTCTCCTCAAAGAGAAGAGAGGCCCAGCTTCCCTCCAGTTTGCGGTTAAAATAAAGCTATTCCAGGAGTATACCCACTTCCTCTTTTTGTTTTGTCTTTTGTCACTCCACAAAGTCTGCCTGGCTCTTTGACACCTAGCTGACCTGTTTCATGTCTCCTAATTTCACCTCAACTAGCCAACCTTATTGTCTTTCCCCTCTTCCCATCTCCCGTTAATACGGCCCGCTCAACCCAGAGCTCGCCGTAAGAATAACTACCACTTATTAAAGAATTAATGTGTCAGACCTTCTGCTAGGCTTTTTGCATAAATCATCTTATAGGCACAACAGGCCTATGTGATACATATCTATTACGGTCCCTGTTCCTGGAAGCCAGCTGGGTCCGGCTGTGTTATCTCAAGGCCCAATAATGAGAAGCAGATAAAGTAGGAAAAAGGGAGTGTATTGCTTTAACCGGATACAGTGAGAAGGCCAGAGATAATTCCACCAGACCAACTCAAAGTGTTCCAGTTTTCTTAGTGCTTAATAGGTTGGGGTTATGTGCCCATGTGCGGTATAGCATTCGCCTAGATCCATTGCTAACTAATTTTGTTTCAACTAGAAGGTCAGAGGCAAAAAAAAAAAAAGCTTGCTAAGTCTGATTAAAAGGACCCCAGTACCTTCAAGGCCTGTCTTCTACGGTATTAGAGTGATTATTTCTGTCTTCTCTCCTTTACAGCTCGGTCTGGAGAACTGCCTTAGACTCTCCAATGAGTCTATTCAAACAGTTGCCTCTGTTTCCTTGACTCGTCTTAGATTTCATTGACCAGAGACAGGTCCTGGCACTAGGAACGTAAAACTGTTCCTTTTATTTTGTTTGCTCCAGGTTAGGGAGAAGCCCATGCAAGGCTCCTACTGACCTTATGTTTCATTTCCAGCTTTGATGTCGGGACCCCGATTTCCCTAGGTTTAACTATTTGCCCATGTTAAGGCAGCACGGTGGAAATTTGTCTGTGTAGCTGGGTGCTATGCGGGCCTGTCTGTGTGACTGTCATGCAGGCCTGTCTGTGTGATTGTCAGGGAGAATTGGCCTGCCACATTCCTATTTTACGGATGAGGGAAGTGAGACTTAAAGGAATCAGTTTAGCCTAAGGCCGCACAATAGTAAGTCAGAGCTAGAACTGTGCATCCCCAGAGTCCACACTTAGTTACTTCACCAAATGTCCTCAGTGGGTATCATGGGCCACCGGGTCCTATTTGGGCAGAGGCATTTGTGAAGCAGGAAAAGGGCACATGAGACTTGGGGCCGGAAGGCCTGGTTCCTGTGCAGGCCACTACACATTGCTGTTAAGCTCTCTCAGCTCTGGTTACCTGTTCTGTAAAACTGGAAAAGAAATAACAGCTGCTTGGATTACATCTGGAAGGAGATAAGGTTTGCGTAAACACCATGCAGATGTTCACGGAAGCAGGTGAAGAGGTGCCTGTGTTTGTTACAAAGTTTGCATTGCTTTCTGTTTGCCTTCCTTGGTCCATCTCCTATCATTACAGTGGCATAGCTGCTGAATTGCAAAAGCATACTTCAGGAGAAAATGATGGAAAATAACCTGGTCTTCTTTTTAATATGGAGGGGAATGGGAGGTGTGGGAATACAGACATTCAGCATGTCAGGGATTACATAACTTCATAAAATCTTTCTGATTTGAATGTCCTTTAGTCATTTTCCAGAGAAATAAAAGCAAAGGGATGATGTCCCCAGAGACGCTCCTCCAGGTCACTTATTAACAAAAGAACATGTTTGCTTACAAGCAGCCTTTGAATAAATATGAATTTCCTAGGTGGGGCCCAGCATATCCTGCAGCTCTAAGTTTCCTGGTATCAGGCAGTTGAAGAGATGAAGGACTCTGATGAAAAGAGATGAAATGAGAGTGTTCAGGCTGCCGGGTGCCTCAGGGCCATGTCTTCCATGCCCAGCCTCAGCCTCCCTTCCCACCTCTCTACCATGGCTCTCTCCATCTTTTGTGTTTACCACACACCTCCGAATGCCACATCCACCTGTGTCTTTAAGTGGAGCGCCACAGAACAAACCCAATGGATAGGTCTGGTGCAGAGCCGGCCTTGTGCCTACATTGGTGACTTGGGGAGAGTTGGGAGAAGACATGGGAGAGTAAGGCTGAGAGGCAGGTGCCCCTCACTTGCCTTTCTTCCATACGTCCAGGCTGCGCTCTCTGTCAAAGTCACTGTCACCTGTCCTCACCAAAAATAGAATGAGCTCTGTGTGGGAAGGGAAGGAGGAGGAGGGGCTGTGGCCACAACCATGGGGTAACAGGGGTGTAGGGAAGGCCAGGGAATGGCTCAGGAGGACCCTCCTCAGCTGACCCAGAGACTCCAGGCTTCAGGCTTTAGGGTGTGGGAGTGGTCAGAGAGGGGCGAGTTGGCTAATTTTCAAGTCTTATTATTAGAAAAGACCTTGAAGGGCACCCACTTCTTGTACTTTTCTCACGCTTGGGACCCCCCCAACAGCATCCCTGCTGAGACATCAGGCAGCCTATGCTGGAATGCCTCCTGGGCCAGGGAGCTCAGCACCTCCCCAGGCCTGAAATCACTGAAGGTTAGAGCTGGAAGGGACCCTTGAGACTGTCAGGCCCCGTGCATGCTCATGTGTCCTGTCACTCTTCTTGCACGCTGAAAGCAACCTCCCTGTCACTCTTACCCTTAA